TCTCATCCCCTGTGGCAGTTTTATTTTCATCTCATAAAGAATGGAGAAATGTGCTTCTAACCTTTTTTCTTCTGTTGCTGTCTTTCTACTAAACCTATGGGTCTCTCCCTTGCTTTTTACTGATGGTAAGTGTTTCTAAGAGGAGGATAGCACATTGGTTAGCTGAGATGACTTTGTTCTCATCTGGCAGCATCACATGATGAAGTTAAGGCATCTTGCCACGTGTCCTCAGGCACGCACACAGGCCCTTGTTTGTAACATATTTTGTGGTGGGCCGTTTCCAATGTCAGCTGCTTCTAGAATTCTGGGATTTGTTACTGATTTTTTTTTTTTTCCTTTTGGCCACATTATCAGTAGTCACCACAGACTCATGCTATACAGCTCTCACTTCTAGTTCAATACTGAGTGATCCAGAGTGAGCTAGAATGCTGCCCAGTGGAGGCCTGATATATTTGTCTGCATTAATTGCAACACCATTAAATAATTAATTCTCTCACTTTTACTTTAATAAATTGACCAGATGGTATATGGAGTCTGTTGCTCATTTCTTCCTTTCATCCTTCTTCCTTTCTTCTCCTATATCCTTTATATGCCCCCAAATTGGAATAATCCGTTAACCAAATAAGTATTTATATGAATCTTGCTTTGATTTTCAGTATCTCCAAAGGAAATGAGTTAATCTGGACTTGCTTAAAAAGTGTTTATGCACTCAGGGAATAAAAAGGTAACTTAAAGCTAGAAATTGTATAGTTAAAATCTTTTCTTAGGATTGACACCAGAAAGCACTCCCAGGAAGGACTGAAGGTGTGCACGGCTCAAGTGGCAGATGCCGTGCCTAACATGTGTGAGGCCCTAATTCAAACTCCAGCACTGCAAAATGAAAAGGTACTGACACTGTAGGAGGTAACACTATTGCCATCTGCAGGCCATGCCTGTCTTTTCCATAATAAGAACTAGAGGAGAATAGATTGCATATTTTGATGAGAACTTGTATGTTGTAGTAGTTTTCATTCTTGGTGTTTGTTTCTTGTTTCACGAATGTTAGGTCTTTCAATATAGACTCTCAATTGGAAAACATTTGCCTTTAGTTTTCCCTTCTTTAGTGTGATCAGATGACTCTTGAATTCCCACCAAGTTTCTGTGTCAGTTTCTCTTGCCAGGTGCTGTCCCCTGCCAGTATCCTGTCTGAATTCCACAGGAAGTGTCCAGATGATGGTATCACCCCATTTCATGTAGTTTTTAAACAAAGATGACAGTATTTAGGGAAGAATATAGGTTCTCTTTCCTTCCTCTTTTTTTCCTTTTCTTTTTAAGAACTTACCATATGCTGAAATCATTGTTAAGCACAGTGATGGGTGAGACCATTGTTTTGAAGATGTTTCTTTCTTACGTATGATATATTTTATGACATAGAATGTGAACATTAGACTCCAACACAACACTTAATTTGGTTCCAGTATAGCAGACAATGAAATAACTGAATAGACAAATTACCTCTGAAATTCTATGAAGGGACATTTAAGTTTTGGTATCTATTGCCAAATTAAGTGTTGTAGTCTAAAGCACCATCTCATACTAAGGCCCATCTTGACAGTTTTCTATCTATGGTTGGTCTACATTGAGTTCCAGATGTTCTTCAAACTGAATTTGTTTTAATGAAAAATACCTTTCTGTGTATGTCTCTGGTGCTGGGGATAGATTCTGGGGTCTCGTGCCTGTTAGGCAAGTACTCTACTATTGAGCTCTATCCCCAGTCTTTTGTTTTCTAAGACAGGGCTCTATGTAGCTCATACTGGTCTTGAATTCCATGTAGCTGGAGTTTTCCTTGAACCATCCTCTTACCTCCCTCTCTTTAATGCCTAGATTACAGGTGTATACCAACATACCCCATTTAAACATTAGATACAGACACTTTTGGCAAGATTTGTATAAACAAGATCTAACTGGGGCCAGGTGCCAGTGGCTCATACCTGTAATCCTAGCTACTCTGGAGGCTGAGATCTGTGGATCATGGTTCAAAGCCAGCCTAGGCAGGAACGTCCATGAGATGCTTATCTCCAATTAATCATCAGGAAATCAAAAGTGGCGCAGTGGCTCAAGTGGTAGAGTGCTAGCCTTGAGCCGAAGAGCTGAGGGACAGCATCCAGGCCCAAAGTTCAAGCCCCACGATCGACCCCCAAAAAAGATGTAACTGAGAATTGAGGCCAACAAGATGAAACTAGCAGCAAGGTTATTCCTGAGGATTTGCTTATTAATTAGTTTGTAGGTAGTGTCACTGGTACCATGTAAGTTATATTTATTTCTGTGCATGTGTAGGATTGGGTTCACATTAGGACAACAAGCATATGATTTAGTTGAGTGAACTGCACTGGAAACATAGTAGAAGACATTATTCTTGAGAAGCTTGAAGTCTAATTAGGGAGTCAAGACACGAATAAAGAGAAAAAATCTTGAAGAACTGAGACAGACATGGCAATATAATTCTAATTTTAAATGTGCTGGAGTTCTAAGTAACATAGTTGAAAGTCTCATCTGAAATCTTTGAACTTTTATGGGATTTCTTTTTTAATAGACTTAAGGAAATGGAAAACTAATCTACAGAGCCACTGATCCATGACTGTATTGTGAAAAGCATCCAGGGAAGGGTAATGTAACAGTCCAAAGAGCCATGTTTTCAGTGAGAATAAAAACGTATCACCAAAGCTTGTAGGCAGCCATGCATCAGAAGCTCACATCTGTAATCCTAGCTACTCAAGAGGCTGAATCTGACGATCACAGTTAAAGCCAGTCTGGGCAGGAAAGTCTGTGAAACTATCTCCAGTTAACCACCAAAAAAAAGTCAGAAGTGGAGCTATAGCTCAAGTGGTAAAATGCTAGCCTTCAGCAAAAAGGCTAAGCAACAGCACCTAGGCCCCAAGTTCAATTCCCACTATGGCACACACATACACCAAAACCTATGTAGAGTATTAATGTAACTTAAATAGTAAGATTTTTGTTTGGGTTGGGTTTTTTAATATTATTATTATAATTTGCTTCTCCTCAAAAAAGATGAGATAGAAAACTCTCCGATGGAATTCAGGGTTGTATTATCCATCTTAATGACCACAATTGGTCTATCTACGGTGATGAGAAGATAAGTTATCTTAGCCCTCAATAATTTTCCTCTAAAGACTTACAAAATCAGTTCTGTAAATTCTTTGTAGTTTTGTTATGGCTTATAACTTTAGCAAAAGGCACTCTGGAGTTGAAGGTTGTAGCTCAATGGGAGGATATATGCTTAGCATGTATGAGTCATTGGCTTCCTGTTATCCCTCTCAGCTGTTTTTCTTTTTTTGGGGGGGGGGGGGTCGTCCAGTCGTGAGGCCTGAACTCTGGGCCTGGGCGCTGTCCCTCAGCTCTTCAGCTCAAGGCTAGTGCTCTACCACTTGAGCCACGATGCCACTTCTGGCTTTTTCTTTTTTCTTATGTGGTGCTGAGGAATCGAACCCGAACCCAGGGCCTCAGACATGCAAGGCAAGTGCTCTACCCCGAGTCACCTTCCCAGCCCCAGCTATTTTTCTTTATAAGCCTTTATTCTTAAACTATGGAGCTTCTCAGAAATTTAGGACTGTAAGAAGATAGTTTGCATTCTCTCATTTCAAGTTAGCTATGTTTTTTTCTTTCTTATTATTCTTTATATCTGGCCTATATGGTTAAAATGCTGGGCTGGAGGCATGGCTCAATTGATAAAGCAGCCACCAACCAATGGTGAAAAACTGAGTTCAAACGTCAGTACTGTGCAAAAAAAAAAGTAAAAATTTAAAGAACATTCTAAAAAGTATTAAATTTTTTCCCTAAACCATTTCATTACACTTTCAAGGTTGTATCTTTTTTTCTAAATGTTTTTAAAAGCAATTAGTGCAGTTGGTTTGAATAAAGACAAAACAGAAAGCAAAACTCCTTCCCCTTGATGTAACTTCATAAACTTTTGTATCTAGAGAGTCTTAACCAATGAATCAACACTCGGAAGCTATTGTAATTTGTTCAACATCCCACAATAAGGGGTAAAATGAGAATCACTGGAGAGAACTCAGAGCAAGCCAATTGCTTCATTGGAAGTTGGTTAATATTTAAAGTCTAATCTGAAATAAATGTGTTGATCCTTAGATGAAATTGACTACTCAGACAGTATATATAGATCTGGATGAGGAGACAGAAACTTCACCGTCAAGCAGGATGATGTTAAGTGTGAAAAATAAGCTCTTCTGTACTCTGTGTCATACTATAACACATGATATGCAGGTCTCAAGGGACATGTGAGATATCAATTTCTGTGAAAGCAATTTTAAGGCAAAATTTTATTCACAGACCAGATATTCCTCATCAGTCTTCTCATTTCCCATAAAACAGTTCAATATGAAAGGCAATTATTTTTATTTTTTATTGTCAGTTGTGGGGTTTAAACTCTGGGCCTGGGCACTGTCCCTTACCTCTACAGCTCAAGGCTAGCTCTTTACCACTTGAGTGGTTTATTGGAGATAAGAATCTCAAGGACTTTCTTTCCCCTGGCTGACTTTGAACTGTGATCCTCAGATCGCAGCCTCCTGAGTAGCTAGGATTACAAGCATGAGCCACCAGCGCCCAGCTAATTTATTTATTTATTTATTTTTCTGGTCATGGGGCTTGGGGCCCACTGCTTAAGCCACAGCGCCACTTCCAGTTTTCCAGTGGTTTTATTGGAGATAAGAGTCTCACGGACTTTCCTGCCCAGGCTGGCTTTGAACAGTGATCCTCAGATCTTAGCCTCCTGAGTAGCTAGGATTACAGGCATGAGCCACCGGCGCCCGGTTAAATTTAAATTTTTTATTATTCTGTTTTGTTAAGAGTGTAAGCCTGTAACTGGTGTATCTAACTTGTTGCTTGGCACCATACTGGGTCCCAGAGAAGAGCCAGCTTTATGAATAACTCTCCTTCAAAGGACTGATGACTGTGTAATTTGTTTTCTTTCATTCTTTTTCTAGCCAAGGACCTTTGTCATCCATCAGAGCAGTGATCAAAAGATGTAAGTTTGTTTTGTTCTCCTCTGTTTTTTCTCTGTTGTAATTTTAGATGGTGACTTAGATTTTTAGCAAGCAATTGTATTTGTTGACTCTATGAATAACTTCACATTTGCACCTTATCCTAACCTGAAGTAATAAAGCAGTTCAGACAAACAGCTAGTTTTTCAGTGTCCATTTGTTGATAAGCCAGTTGTTCAGAGTCACATCTTTTTTATATATAATGACACTTTTAAAACAAAATTTGCTATGGAATTAGTTTTGTGGTCAGATATAATTTTATATAGCCATTTTCTACAATTAGGAACATCTGGTAAGCTTAAAAAATAGTAAGCCCTCTTCTTTTCTTTTATGAGCTCTATTCACAATATTATATAAGCTAAATAAATGCCTATAAAAATAGGCTCAAAGGGATATAGGTTCTTTGTACTTTGTGCCTGCCTTTACCTCCTGGTGTAAGTGTTTGTTTTGGTTTGGTTTGGTTTTTCCTTTTTCGTTTTGTGTTGGTACTGGGGCTTGAGCTCCAGTCCTCGAGTCTCAAGTTTTTACACAGCTTTTTTACTTACAGCTGGCACTCTACCAGATGAGCCATGCCTCCATTTCTGGCTTCTCCCTCATTATTTGAAGATAAAAGTCTCCAAAATTTGTCTTTCCAGACTGGCTTTGGTTCTCAGATCTCAGCCTCCTGAACAGTTAGGATTGTATGTGTGAGCCACCAGTGCCCAATGACTTCATTTATTTTACTTTATTTTATTTTATTTTATTTTGGTTGTGGGGCTTGAACTCAGGGCCTGGGCACTGTCCCTGAGCTTTTTCCCCTCAAGAACAGTGCTCTATCACTTCTGGTTTTCTGGTGGTTAACTGGAAGTAAGAATCTCACAGACTTTCCTGCCCAAGCTGGCTTTGAATCACAATTTCAGCCTCAGATCTCAGCCTTCTGAGTAGCTAGGATTACAGGCATGAGCCACTGGCACCAGACTTCATTACTTTTTCAAAGCAAGGATCTGCAACGGGGTGCATTTCAAATTCTTACATCATTCTAGTTCCAACCAGAATCATGACTAAAATTAATTGTTGTATTCCCTAAGTATTTCGCTATAGTTTTTTTGTTTTGTTTACAAATCTTAATTAGATAAATCTGAAATTTCATATTCTTCATTCACTGACTCTGTGTGTGTGTGTGTGTGTGTGTGTGTGTGTGTGTGTGTGTGTGTGTGTGTGTGTTTGTGTGTGAGAGATAATAGGGTTTGAATTCAAGACCATCAGCCAGACTATCAGCCCAATTTTAATTGGTTATTTTTAAGATAGGGTCTTGATTCCTGCCTTGGTGCACATCTGGACTGAAATCCACCTATTTTAGGCTTCCTGTAGAAGCTGGGATGAGAAGTACATGCTACCATACCTGCATCCCGTCTTTTAAGATGGAATCTGCCTAAGTTGTCTTGGAAGCATGATCTTCCTAGTCTTGGCCTCTCATGTAACTTAAGATGGAGGCGGGTGCCACTGTACCTAGCTTTAAGAAAATGTAGCAAATACTGATTATATATACCAGAAGTCAGGAACTCTGTCACGTGCTTATAAAATAGCACTCTCTTCACAGACACTCTCTACTGAAGTAGTAAGTTGATTTTGCCAGATGGTTTTTAGATTTTTTTTTTCTTTGCACCAGAGGCAGATTTTTGGACTCTGATTGTATGTGTGAGTGATCCAGTCTGTACAGATATTGTTGTAGCATGTATTTCTTTGCCCTCTGAGTCTGTGGTTCATCAACTTCTCTTTTCTAAGAATGCAGAGTGGGGAAAAACAGTGTCAGCAAGACAGTCCTGCTCCTAATGTCCTTGTAGAGAGAGGCAGTGGGGTTCACTCTTTCTTCTCCCTTTCCCCTTCTATAACCCCTTCTTTTTCTCCTTTAGCACTCATGAATAGTACACGACAAAATGACCCGTGGAAGAGGTATGTTTGTGACAATACCATGAAGCCAATAACTAACATAAAGCTGGTCCCAGCTTTAGTAATTGATGTAATGTGATTTGTAGCATATTACCACAACCTATTGGGCGAGCCTCGGACTTAATGAAGACCTTCCTACCAATCAGTTGCCACATGCATGGCACTATCCTCTGTCCTCTTATATTCCAGTAGATGAAATGTACCTCATTTAGGTGTAGCTCTTGGTAAGAAGGTAACATTCAGTCAAACCAGTTGATGCTAGGGAATAAGAGCATCTTCTGTGCCAAGATCCACGGGTCAAAGGTTTGCTTTGCTAGCTCAGGACAGGTTAGATGGCACAGCTCCATCCCACCCCAAATTTCATTCCCACCTTTTATTCCTACCTTCAGCTCTACCTCATTCAGCTATGGCAGCCTCCTTGTTCAGGGAGAGGCTGAAAAATAGAAGAAAGAAAATATCCATGCTTCCAGTCTTTTCAACTCAGAAACACTGAAAAAAATGAATAATGAAGTGAAGAAAGCAACGGGTGAAACAATTTATAACTGAAACCAGTTCTCCCTTTGCACAAATCTTTATAGTATAATATGTGACTATGTTTCCCTCCTGAAAGGCCTCTTTAGAATGAGGTATTGAAAGAGAGAGACAGAGAGCAAATTCAGGTGCTCCAGTGTCTCATGCCTATACCCCCTAGCTGGCTGGGAAACAGATTGGGGAGATCACAGTTTGAGGGTAGCCAGGGTACTGTTATGCCTCCCTATCATCGTAGCTATGACAGAAAGCCTAAAATAGGAAGATTGCACTCCAAGGAACACAGGGGCAGGAAGGAAGAGCCTATCTAAAATATTACCAGGGTACAACAGAAAACTGGAGGCTTAGTTCAGTGGTCACGTATGTACCTGCCTAGAACAAGTAGAAAGCCTGAGTTCACACTCAGTACTGTCAGAAGGATAAAGACAACGTTCTATATTACAAAATGATCCAATATATGACATATGTTCCATCTTGTATGATTAAGTCTTGATTTGCTTTATAAAGGAAAATTTAGGGGAGGAAGTTAAACTATTTAGCTCTCTGAGATTGAGACTTTAGGGCCAAATCAGTACTTAATATATAACAATGCCTTAAAATACATTTAAGTAATTTGAACACCTTTTACATTTATTATTTAATTATTAAGACTACTTAAAGATTATAAAATCAGGAGAATGATGGAAGGAGTGACGCTGATCAAGATGCATTATACACATAAGTTGACATGCTGAATTGAAACCCCTTCATGCAACTATTTAAAGATAATAATAAAGTATAATATGATAAAATGAAAAGATTATAAAACTCCAGACAAGTTAGACATAGCTTAGGGTATTTTTCTTCCCATTATTATTTTTTGTCATTATCCTAATGTTCCCATCATACAATCTCTATTTAATAGTGTAATGTACTTAATAGCTATCTTCTTTTCTCTGTTCATTTCTCAAACTATTTTCAGAACTACAGAACGTGCTTTGGGGAGTTTCTGAAATCTGTGTTTTCTTATGCAATTTTAGCACATAATTATAATTTGTGCCATATAAAAAGTTTTGAGTTATTTTTCTGATGAGAGATGTTAAAATTCATATATTCCATGATGTTTAGTATAAGTTAACTTTTGTTTATTCTTTCTTCTATAGCTTCTCGAACTTCTATTCAGAGTGAACTTCATCGAGATAGAAGGTATGGTTTTATTTATAATAGAGGGAACATATATATATGCTGCTAATTTTATTGAGATAAAGGTGTGTCTGCTGGAGCCGGGCGCTGGTGGCTCACGCCTGTAATCCTAGCTACTCAGGAGGCTGAGATCTGAGGATAGCGGTTCAAAGCCAGCCCGAGCAGGAAAGACCGTGAGACTCCTATCTCCATTAAACCACCAGAAAACCAGAAGTGGCGCTGTAGCTCAAGTGGTAGAGCGCTCGCCTTGAGCTGAAGAGCTGAGGGACAGCGCCCAGGCCTAGAGTTCAAGCCCCACGACCGACAAAAAAAAAAAAAAAGTGTGTCCGCTGGGAAGGTGGCTCAGTGGTAGATTGCTTGCCTTGCATGCATGAGGCCCTGGGTTCAATTCCTCAGCATCACATAAGCAGAAAAAGCCAGAAGTGGTTCTGTGGCTCAAGTAGTAGAGCATTAGCCTTGAGCTGAAGAGCTAAGGGACAATGCCAAGGCCCAGAGTTTAAGCCCATGACCGACAAAAAAAAAGTGTGTCATCAGTTGGCAAGTTAAATATTTCTCTTTCACAAGAAGTACTTACCTTCATCCTGCTTCATCAATACATTTCCTGCATTAATCTGTAAGTTTAAGGAGAAATATTTTGCTTGAGAGAAACAAGATAGCCCTGAAAGGTGATCTTTTTTTTTTTTTGTCGGTCATGGGGCTTGAACTCTGGGCCTGGGCGTTGTCCCTTAGCTCTTCAGCTCAAGGCGAGCGCTCTACCACTTGAGCTACAGTGCCACTTCCAGTTTTCTGGTGGTTTACTGGAGATAGGAGTCTCACGGTCTCACAGTCTCTCCTGCCCGGGCTGGCTTTGAACCGGGATCCTCAGATCTCAGCCTCCTGAGTAGCTAGGATTACAGGCGTGAGCCACCAGCGCCCGGCTCTGAAAGGTGATCTTTTGAGTAATTATTTGTCGAACTCAATTTTTTAAAGTGCTTATTAAACAACTGCTACAGATAAAGCATTTTAACTGCCTCTCAGAAATGCTTTGTACCTCAGAGGTCCTTAATAAATGTAGCCTAGATAAGTAGATGATGACAGTATAGAAAATTGATCAGAAGAAAAAGAAAATGGAAAAGAGACAGCAGGCTAGCTAGGTGGCTGAATTGATGAATGGTGGATAGTTGATTGGGAAGAAGGAAGGAGGAGAGAGTAGCTTCATAGTAAATGAAAGGACTAATGGACACACAGATAAGATGACGGATGGATAGATTCAGTATGTACTTCATATTAACAGAAAATTACACCATTCCATTGACCAGTATATTTTCCCATCATTGGACACACATTTGCTATATGCTAGACAACAGTGGACCCCTGGAATAAAGAAACTATGGGCCTTAATTAATCTAGCAGAGTTCAATGTGCTCAGGCTCCATCTTCAGCTCTTTGGAAACAGCCATGGCAATGGGGAATGGCCACTGTTGGGTCCCTTAAAGCCTACCTGGTTGCACTATTAGACCATCTAGGCCAGAAAACTTATTTCTATGACTGTGGTAGTTCCCACTGCCTTATTGTGTAGTGGGTGTCTCCCTGAGTCTTTGGACATTTTCTAATAGACAATAACTTGGTAATAACCTGCAAAAGCAAAAAATCTCACTGGAGCGTCTGTCCTTCAGGCGCCCGGAGATCACCATCGTGGCTGCAGAGCCTCTGAGGCCAGCCTCCTGGTTCCCAGGAGCCGCACCCCCAGGACTGGGGTTCCCACCTACTCCCGCATCAGGCCCTTGGAGACCAAATGAGCTAGTTCCTGCAGAGGTAAGGAAATGCCTCATCCTTGCATGTACAAAGGGGTTTCAACTCAACCTGTCAATGTATGAGTACAATGTATCTTAAAGAGTTCATTTTATTTTTTTAATTCAAAGATTGAAAAAAAAAATCAAACCTCTCAGCCTCTTGGCTATGGCCTCCAGAAGTCTAAAATTTTCATTCTTTATTTTGCAGCTCCCACCTTCATATGAGCAAGTCATAAAAGAAATCAACCAAGTTCAAGTTAATACTACAAACAATAACAATGCTGCTGCCACACCGAGGAGCACTAGCACTTCTGCCACTCAGACCGACTTCCCAGAAGAAATAGACAACAGTCTGCCTCAAAGTAATGCAAGGAATCTGACTTCCCTGATTCTGACCTAGTTCTAGGGGAGTAATCAGGAGGCTCCTAGCCTTTCCCATCATTTGTGATTTGTGGATAATTTATGGAGCTCTGCTTCGTACTCATTATGATCACTGTGTGCCTGCTTCATTTGGAGTGTAGTGGTTATTATAATAGATCATTCCTAACAGCTGCAGCCCCACTCTCTTGGGCTTGTCCTATTTAATATCACAGAAACATCATCCATCTAACTCATGGCACATGTTACTGTGGATTCCTTTTATTCCCATTGAGAAGGGTTTTATACTTAGCAACTTCAGTCTGATAGGATACGAAGATTGAACAATCTCCAGCCTAAGGAAAGAAGTTCACAAGCCACAATCACTGGTGTGTGTCTGTGATCTCAGTTGTGAGAGAAGCATAAATAGCAAGATTGTGATCTAGTCCAGAGGGGGCAAAAAGAAAACAAAAATGAGACCCTATTTAACAGATAAAAGCATAAAGGGCCAGAGGCCTGGCACAAGTGGCAAAGTGCCTTCCTAACAAGCACCGAGTCCTGACTTAAAACCCAAGTTAGGTTGGACAGTAATGGCTCATACCTGCAATCCTAGCTACTCAGGAAGCTGAGATCTGAAGATCATAATTCAAATCCAGCTTGGACAGAAAAGCCCAGAGGACTCCTATCTCCAGTTAACCACTGCAAAGCTGGAAGTGGTGGGGTTTAAGTGTAGATTATTAGCCTTGAGCAAAAATGGAAAGTAATTGCTTAAGGCCCTGAGTTCAAGCCCCAGTATCAGCACACACACACAAAAAGTACATCTTAGCCTGGTGCTGGTGACTCATGCCTATAATCCTAACTACTCAGGAGGGGGAGAGCTGAGGATCTAGGTTCAAAGCCAGCCCGGGCAGGAAAGTCGGTGAGACTCTTATCTCCAATTAACCACCAGAAAACTGGAAGTGGCACTGTAGCTCAAGTAGTAGATCGCTAGCCTTGAGCTGAAGAGCTGAGGGACAGCACCCAGGCCCAGAGTTCAAGCTCTACAACCCTCAAAGTGCATTCAATCTTTTTCATTAAAAAAAAAAAGTAGAAAGGGGTGAAAAAAATATTTAATTGGAAAAAAGTACCTCCAAAAATAAAAATAGCTGGGGCCAGGGGGTAGTAGGTGGCTCAACTCCTTAGGAAGCAAAAACTGGGAGGAATGAGGATCAAGGCCAGCCCAGACACAAAGTTAGACCCCATCTAAACCAAAATCTGAGCAAGGTAATGCATACCTATTAACTTATGTCTGTAAGAGTTGTTAATAGGATGATTACAGTCCAGGCTGGCCCAGACAAAAATTGGAGACCCTATCCAAAAAAATAACTAAAGCGTGGCTCAAGTGATAAATTGTGCCCAGTATGCATGAGACTCCAAATCCCAGTACTACTGTCTCCCCTAAAAATAAAGAAGTTGAACATGGGGGTCTGTACCTTTCACCTTAGCTACTCAAGGGGCAGAGATAGGAGGATCACAACCCCAGGTCAACCCTGGAAAAGTGATCTTAAGACTCTCCCAGAATAATAAAGAACTGGATGTGTGACTTAAGTGGTAGATTGCTTGCCTAGCAAGGGTTTGACCTGAGTTTGGTCGCTTATACTTTGAAGGGAGGAAAGGAGAGAAAACAAAACTTTTTAAAGTATTCTATTAGTGTAACAGTAAGGGCTAAGTTGCTTTGTAAAAGAAAAGAAGATGTTGACATTTTGAAAATCAGATAGAAATGGTTTGTTTGATGTCTAATGAGAATCCAGAATTTGGTGGAGAAATTTAATATTTCCCCAGTGGTTTTGCCATCACTTTTTCCTAAGCAGGGAAATCCCAATCTCTTTGGAGCCTATGTTTGTTTTTAAAAGATCCGTGTGTCTTCTAGAAGTTTCTCTATTCACTTCTAACACTGCCATTCCTTTTTGTTCCTTTGGATCTCCAGCACGACAGGCTTCGCTGCAGCCTTCCCCAGCAGCCTTCCCCGCTGATCTCCAGAGGAATACAGCCCCTCTTATAGTCTTTGATATTCCTGAAGAACAGAACTGTCCAGGAAACCCCAGTGCTACAAGATGTCCAGTGCCAAGGCCAAGATCAAAAAACAACCTCAGACCAGCAGCCAGAGAGACTAACATTAGAGAAAAAAATCACCAGAAAAACAGCTCAGTGGACCCCGAAGAGGCGTCATCCCCAGGCTGGTCCTCATCTCTGCTGGACAGAACCAACGACTTGGATAGTCAGGCAGTGATGTACACTATGAACCCAGAGCAAAGCCAAAATAGTATTGTTTCGAGAGTCAAAGCATTTGAGGGTCAAACCAATGTGGAAACCTCCCCAGCACTGCCTAAGAAACCAGAAATTACCCCTCGCACACTCCCCCCAAAGCCAGCTGTTTCCTCAGGAAAACCATGTGTGGCCCCCAAACCAGGTGCTGGCACAGCTCTGGGAGACTGGGACACTTGGACTGAAAACAGACTCAAGGTGACCTCCAGGCAAGGGCTCACTCCATACTTGCCACCACAGGAAGCAGGAAACATCCCTGTAACCAAACCTGAATTGCCAAAGAAACCAACTCCTGGCCTTATTCGAAGTGTTAATCATGAGATTTTGGGTGGGGGCCTCCTGGCTGAGAGTGCTGGTGTAGGGAAAAAAGTCCCAACTCCTGCCCCTCGGCCTTTGCTGCCGAAGAAATCAGTTTCCTCTGAAAACCCCACCTGCCCTTCAGTTCCTCCAAAACCCAGCCCTGTTCCTTCTGGACTCTTGGTGTCATCACAAGCCAAAGACTTCAGGTCACTGGGAGAAGGAGCTCTGGCTAATGCTCCGGCCCCAGCTCTGCCAAGCCGGCCCCTGGGGGACATAGACCTCATCAGCTTTGATGATGATGTTTTGCCCACCTTGTCTGGGAACCCAGCTGAAGAATGTGTTGGTTCAGAAATGGTTCTAGGTAAGTGGAGGAGAACTACACACATCAGAGGTATCTTGAGTCACACTTGTCTTAAGTGTGGAAGGGGTATGGGTGTGTGTGTATAGATAGGGTGAACAGAGAAATTAATAAACAGAGAAGACCAGATAGTGGTAGCTCACACCTGCAATCCTGCCTATTCAGAGGCTAAGATCTGAGGATTGCAGTTCAAAGCTAGCCCAGGCAAGAGAGTCCTTGAAACTCTCATCTCCAGTTAGCCACACACGCACACACAAAAGCTGGAAATGGAGCTGTGGCTCACATGGTAGAGTATCAGCCTTGAGCAAAAAACTAAGGGACAATGCCCAGAAGTAAATAAAAATAAAAATAAAACAAACATAAAGAAAGAGAGACAGCAATAGCATAAATGATTTTTTATTAAGTCGGACCAGTCTCCTACTTTATGCCTTCTAATTTTGTCTGAAAGCAACAATCTTAGGATGTCTGCTGTTTTGATAACTATCTTCTTCATTCTAGATAATGTGTTTATGCTACCATTTCTGAATTCAGTCCTGATTAACACTATCTAATGCCTTAATCAAAATGAGAATTTTCTTGATCATTTCTTCTTTGACCTACATCCTCCCCCCTATATTTTCCATACTTTTACTATTTCAGTTCTTTTTAGGATTTACTTTTCTGTAAGTAGATGTATGTCTTGTTTCCATAATTTTATTCAAAAAGTAGCACTATTGTGTATAGCTATTTTCAAGTCATTATTTCCTATCCTTTCTGGCAGTTATGGTTTTATTTGCTTTAACTTTTTCATTTGTTGATAATAATATTTATATTTTGCAAGTTTTGAGACCAAATCTTTTGTTATGTTAATGAGTTGGCTATAAATATTAAAAAATAAATAGGTTTGAGGAGAAAGGAGAGATGCTGGAATTCAATGATTACTATTACTTTGCCTCAAAGTAACGGGACTGGGACCACAAACTCATCAGGCTGTGAGGCTAGTTTCTTTTACACTGACAGGCGTTCAGTTCTTATATTCAAAGGATGGAGGAAGGCTGGAAGGATGTGGCATTAGAATAAGGTAGCAGCATCCCATAGATAGAAGCATGCCATAGTCTAGCTGGCACGGGGGGGGAGGGGGGGATAGAGTGAGGGGAGTAAGGAGGTGGGGGGAGGTGTTTGGCCAAGTGGAGACTTCCATAAGACCCAGAACCCCGCCACAAGTTGCAAGCTTTTTTTTTCTGTAATCTTCATTGTAAGACTTTTCGTGCCACCTTCACTCAGCATCTTCCCTTGGGAACACAAATTTTTATAAATAAAATTCAGCAGTTGTAAGCTGGCTCCCAAGATCAGTACAATTAAATTTCCAAGAGACAGAAAATATGTTTTCTTTCCTCTGGCTCTTCCGGAAGTAAAGCTTATCTCTGATTTGCCAAACTAAGCTAATCTACTTGTCTTTGATAAGATTCTTTTTACGACTGTTTACTTCTTTAGGTCAAGTATGTAAACATATAAAGTTACAAATAGCAAGCATATTTATGAAATGTTTATAAAGCACATAACCTTGAAACTGGCTATGGCCTATAAAAAGACATAGCTCTTGTCCCCAAAGACTGGAAGAAAAAAACATCCAAATCTATTGCGGGTCCTGGGCCTTGAACTCGGACTGAGATAAGTTAATTAGAGATGAGAATTCTTGGGCTGGGAAAGTGGCTCAGTGGTAGAGCGCTTGCCTTGCATGCATGAGGCCCTGGGTTTGATTCCTCAGCACCACATAAGCAAAAAAAGAAAAAAGCCGGAAGTGGCGCTGTGGCTCAAGTGGTAGAGCGCTGGTCTTGAGCTGAAGAGCTGAGGGACAGCGCCCAGGCCCAGAGTTCAGGCCCCATGACCAGACTCAAAAAAAAAAAAAAAGAATTCTTAATTGGATGAAATAAGAATCTCATAGATGTTGCTATACTGGGCCTGGCTTTGAATTTGATGCTCAGATGTCAGCCAAGTGGCAAGAATTACAGGTGAAACCACTGGTGTCCCACTCAGACATTCTTTGATACAGCAAATAACTGGTCCCAGTTTTTAAATGAAGAAAATAATGCTGAGGGAGATCAATGCATACCACCATAGAGCTAACAGTTTTATAAGCCTAGATTCAAATGTACCTTTTTATCCTAAATCAAGTTTATTTTTCACATTTGCTATGCAGCATTTTCAGGACTCCTTAAACCAAGCAACACTTAAGAATGTCTTTGTTAATATTTTCTCTCCTTTTTTCCTGCCAATATTAGGGTTTAAGTTCAGGGCTTCATACCTGCTCAATTTACTTATTCTGCTGGCATTTTACCACTTGAGCTATACCTCCAGCCCAGCTTTTTGCTGATTATTTTGAAGATATAGTCTCTCAGACTTTTCTGCTAGTACCAGCTTCGAACTAAGATCCTCCACTTCTCAGCCTCTTGAGGAGCTAGAATTACAAGTGTGAGCCACTAGTACTAGTAGCTCCATTTTCTTATTTCAGTATTTTCCTGTTGCAAGCCTCAGAGGAATGCAGGGATGGATAAACCCAATAGCAGTAAACAGTTACAAAACAGAAACCATGCAGCACAAAGAAATACTACCTTTATTTAGAATCTATGGGATTGGTAACCTAGTTAATAAGTACTAAGAATTTATTCTGTACCATCAGACGGATAGATAATTATAGTCATCTTCCAGAAGGAAGGTCCACAGTACATTCAGCATGAATACAGGGTGTGTTTCATCCCCAGCCTTAGTGTTTTCATTTCTCCCACTTCATTGCACAATATTTAATTAGTAGGGTAGTCTTCTAGCAAAACGTGTAATTGGTTTGACCTGCCTGCCTTTAGCCATTGCTCTTGAGTGTAGAGTTAACTGAACTGAGTATCTTCTTTTTACACCTGTACCCGTCCTGTGTATTTAACACCTCCTTAACCATTCCATTACACAGATAGAGAAATATAGGCTTGCTGTTTAGTCTGTCAGGCTCTGCCACAATTGCCTTGTAACTTGTGACTTGGGTCAATTTACTTAACCTGGCAGTGCCTAGGTTTGCTCATCTAATAGATGCCATAATAAGTCTCCACGTGGAGAGCACTGCAAGGACTATCATCGTGTAGAAAACCTTCTGACTGAGACAACATGGTCACTACCTAGAAATTTTTGTTGTTGGTGGTGGTGGTCTTGGAGCTTGAAGTACTGTTGCTGAGCTCTTTTTGCTCAAGGGTAGCACTCTGTTACTTTAAGCCACAGCACCACTTTTGGTTTTCTGGTAATTAATTGGAAATAAGAGTCTCATGGATTTTGCAGCCCAGCCTGGCTTTGAACCATGAGCCTGAGATCCCAGCCTCCTGAGTAGTTAGGATTATAGGCGTGAGCCAATGCCTAGCTCCTAGTAATAACTGTTACCTCTCTGCCTTCACATCCAATAAGTTATGCACATTTGCTGGGTTTTGCCTACTGAATTTTTTTTGTTTATATATACTAATTGTTACTGTAAAGGTGATTTACAGAGGGATTACAGTTACATAAGTAATGAGTACATTTCTTTTTTAACATTGTCATTCCTTCCCTCTCTCTCTCTCTCTCTCTCCCAATTTTTCCCTCCCGTCGCCAGCCACAAGTTGTATAGTTCATTTTCAACACAGTGTCTAGTACCTCTGCTGCATTTGTTCACCCTCTGTCCCACCCCTTCCAAGCCTCCCATTAACCTCCCAGAGACAGATAAACTAACAAAGAAAGCCTCCCATTAACCTCCCAGAGACAGATAAACTAACAAAGAAAGCCTCCCATTAACCTCCCAGAGACAGATAAACTAACAAACAAGGAAAAAGGTAAAGAAAACAAAAATATTAACAAAGAAAAAAGAAACAATGTTTGTTTCCATTTCTTGGAGTTCATTTTGATAAAGATTATTTTATATGGTCATATGCACATAGTTATTGAACCCTTGTGTTCCTCTCCTAAGAATATCCTCCTTTGGTCTCACTGTGAATGTCTAGAGACCTGTATAATTTATCATGTCCCAGTGTATTGTCTTTTACCATCTAGTGTGTTTACTTTTGCCTGTTGAACTGCTGTTGTTTTGCAGTACTGAGATTTCAACTTAAGTCCTCCCTTTGGCTAGGCAGGCCCTCTACCACTTTAGCCACACCTCCACATCTGTATGTTTTAGTTATTTTTTCAGGTAGAGCTTATATCTGGACCAGCTTGGGACTACAGTCCTATTTATATCTCCCCTGTTGCTGATCTTACAAGCTCTTGCCACCATACCCAGCTTATTTGTTGAAACTGGCTGTTGTTAATTTTTTATCCAGGCTGACCTTAAACCATGGACTTTCTGATCTCCACCCTGAGGTTCAAGACATGAGAGTACAGATGTGAGTCTCTGTACCTGGCCATGAACAGTTCTTGAATCTGCCTCTCATTTCCATCTCTCCTTGTTTTTTCCCACATTCAACCCTTATGCTCAGATTCCTGCAGCTGCCTCCTAAATAGAGCCCTCTGAAGTTCCTCCATATAGAGTTGGCTGCCCTAGAGATTTTTTCTAGTGCTTACACAGGTCCTGTGGCTTGCCTGCTTGTTGCTTTCCAAAGGCCTTCAGGATTTCAGGAGGGATTTTATTTATTGATTTGGGGCTTTGTGACTCTGATGACATTTCTATGACATTGTCACTGTAAACAAAAGATCATGTTCTTTTTGTGAAAACTTTTGTCTAATATGGGCCAGATAGGATCAGCCAGAAACTGAGAGAGAAAAACACAGGAGAAAGGAAGCTCACAGATAACTTTCTCAATAATCTTTTCTCAACAATATAGGAAACCTTAACCAAAAATAGTATTCAGAAAAGTGAAGTTATGATATTCATCTCAAGGAATACAGCTCAGAAAATACTAAGGCTATGAAAACGTTGTGAGAGCTGGGAAGGTAGCGCAGTGGTAGAGCGCTTGCCTGGCATGCATGAGGCCCTGGGTTCGATTCCTCAGCACCACATAAGCAGAAAAAGCCAGAAGTGGTTCTGTGGCTCAAGTGGTAGAGTGCTAGCCTTGAGCTGAAGAGCTGAGGGACAGTGCCCTGGGCCCAGAGTTTAGGCCCCACGACCGGCAAAAAAATGATATATGTGTGTGTACTTGATATATATATAGATATCTATCTATCTATATATATATATATATACATATACAATACACACACATATATACATATATACATATATATGTATGTAATTTTAAGGGAAAACTCATAAAACAGGCAATTTAACATTGGCTTCATTTCTTGGCCAGAATGCTTTGCAGAAGTATCAGTGATTCTGCTTCACAAGTTTACAATCTTAGCCACTTGTCATAAAAGGCTCTGCTGTCAGCCCCATTGCACAGACCAGAACAGTAGTTTAGCAGCCAGTTGCTGCTAGTAACACAACTCAAGAGGGAGAGAAATGACCGAGAAGCCTGTGTGGGCTGGGGAAACTAATTAGGATTACAAAGCCTATTATCAGAGGCAGGTGCTGGGGGGGAAAACTACTTTATCATCAGTGATTTTCTCAATCCAATAATGAAACCAAGTCGCAACAGATCCAGACTATCTGGTGTTGGTGTGAGGGACTGGAAGGAGGTGCAGCTGAACCAAAGTAGAGGAAAATGGCACACTTGACTTTTCATAGATTTGGGCGGGCAATTCTTGTGATGCCCTATCACTTTTGTAGTAGCAACAGCAAGCAGTCATAGGTGGCTTGCATGCAAAGATTTAAGGAGTGAGTTTGGAAATGCTGTAGTATGCATAAGGTCTTAGTCCCATGCTAAAACTGCCAAAAAAAAAAAAAAAAAATAGCCCAGGTTAATTCTGGGCAGAGAGGAAGAAACCCGCACTATCATTGAGATGAAAACCAGGCATCTGCCTCCCACTCCTCCCTGCTTTACACTCCTCACAAGAGCTTGGCCAGGGACATGGTGCAGACTGAGGGATGGATGCCAGGCTTGCTGACTGCACACAGCTGGGGTACATCACGCAGTACATCACTGATGCCAGACAGTCTGCAAGAGCAGCATGGAAGAGTTCCTTGCCTCTCTGGGTGGAGAAAGGAGGTGTTTTTAATAGAGACTGTTTAGTAGGATAACTATACATGATATTAGTGCCAGTTAAAGAATAACTAATAGTATTAAACATGAAAGAGAAGCTGTATGCTGATGGCTCACTTCTGTAATCCTAGCTGTGAGGATCACTGTTCAAAGCCAGCCCAGGCAGGAAAATCTGTGAGACTCTTATCTCCAGTTAACCACCAGAAAGCCAGAAGTAGAGCTGTGGCTCAAAGTAGTAGAGCACTAACCTTGAACAAAGAGAGCTTAAGGACAGTATCTAGGCCCATGTTCAAGCCCAATGACTGATAGAGGTGGGGGAGTTGGGAGAGAGAGGCCATTGTCAGGGATGGTGGTCACCTGAGAGGGAAAGAAGGAGTAAGGACTTTTGATTTTTAGCTTAACAATTCCTACATCCTACAAGAGCCAGTCAGCTGAAGGTGCCTCTAGAACTGCACCTGGTCACAGATAGAAGGTATATCCTGTTCACGTGAAGGACATGTGAAGGTTAGAGTAGTATCTTCTTACCAACCTCTAGTGCATGGAACTGGTGGAATTAGATACTATCCCATCCGTCTCATGTGGAACAAAGGCAGTGTTCTGGGCTACATAGAGTATCTTTCACAAAGCGTTTTATTTTTTTCTTCTGGCTAATCTACTTATTTTTAGGTTTCTTTAGTCATTTTCCAAACCACTGAAACCACTGAGAAAAACATTTAAAGAGACTTTGAGTTAAAAAATAATAATTGTATAGTCATGCTTTTGTATAAAACACTTTTCCTAGGTGCATAGATAGCTACATAGATACTGTTCATTTAAAATACATCAGTTAGGATGGAAAAAGGCCAAGACATATATTCTTGCCCCCAAATTATTAAATATTGGAAGGAAGATGTCTTATTTTGTGTCTGGAGTAACACGTGTACCACTCTCCTTTTACTGAAGAGCAGTCTTAATAAATTAATTACCCAGTCAGAGACTTCTGGACCCCTTCCCTGTGCCAGCTGGCACTGAGAAGGATGAGGGACTTTGGTGAACCCATGAGCAGGCTCAGAGAAGAATCCTTACTTCCTGGGACACAGGATATGGGCATGGTGCGGGGGGGCGGGGGAGAGGGCATGGGCTGAACAACTTGGAAAGATTGTCTTGTTTCTGTTACCCCTCATTTTCATGAGACACTTATTAAATGATTAGACTCCCCTGAAATGCAGCATCTCTATTCAGGATTGTCCTGGATCTCTCATCAGAGGAAGAAAAGTGATATGAATTATTTACAGAGCACTAAATCATTTCCTTTTTATGATTTCCAACTTTGTTTTGGTCTCTGCAAACTGAGATTTTGTTTATCCCTGAATAGCTTTCCCTGGGGCATGAAAAATAGAACTCTTAAATTATGAATGAGGTTTTTTTGTTTGAGTCCTTATTAACTAAAACATGTAAAATAAACTATGTTTTTCATTAGATCCCTTTCAGCTCCCCACAAAAGCAGAAGCAACAAAAGAAAGGTCAGTTCAACCAGCAACCACCAGGAAGCCCACTGTCATTCGGATCCCCGCTAAACCAGGAAAATGTAAGCACTCTGCTATCTTTATTTGCTTCTACAAGAGCCTGAGAGAGAAATACTTATTTACCAATGTAACTGACACTTATTATTCATAGTCATGGACATTTAGAAGGAATTGTTTTCTCACAATTCTGCAGAAAATTAGAACAGTACCTTTGCATTTCATGTTTCTTTATGTTTGTTTAAAGCATGTTATCACCTCTGTAAAGATAGGGAAGTAAGGGGCTAGGAAGATGGCTCAGTGGTAGAGCGCTTGCCTTGCATGCATGAGGCCCTGGGTTCAATTCTTCAGTACCACATAAGCAAAAAGAAAAAAGCCGGAGGTGGCGCTGTGGCTCAAGTGGTAGAGCGCTAGCCTTGAGCTGAAGAGCTGAGGGACAGCGCCCAGGCACAGAGTTCAGGCCCCATGACTGGACCCAAAAAAAAAAAAAAAAAAAAGATAGGGAAGTAACTTAAATGAATAACACAGTTATCAATGTCTATCAGAAAAATACTATTCCTATCAGCATTATTAAATATGTTTGGGTGTAGATTATGTAAAAACCTGTACCCAAGCTGGACATGAGTGGTTCATGCCTATAATGCTAGTTACTCAGGAGGCTGAGATCTGAGGGTTGTGGTTCAAAGCCAGGCTAGCCAGGAAAGTCTATGAGACTCATCTCCAGTTAGCTACCATAAAAGCCAGAAGTGGAGCTATGGATCAAGTGGTAGAGAACCAGCCTTGAACAAAAAAGCTCAGGATCAGTGCCCACGCCCTAAGTTCAAGCTCTAGAATTGGGGTGAGTGTGCATTTGCACACACACATACACACACACACACATATACAAAATCTGTGTACCCAAAAGGTCTAAAAATAGATGATACCTTTTGGGCATGTGTGTGTACCAGTGCTAGGGCTTAACCTCAGAGCCCACTAGGATTACAAGTTTGAGACACTGGCACCCAGCTATAGCAATACTTGCTTTTTATGATGATGCTATTGCTAAATAATTTTTTCAATCACAGTAATATTTATTTGGGTGTGTGTACTGGTGTTGGGGCTTGAACTTTGGGCCTGAGTGCTAGCTCTGAGATTTTCTTGCTCTACCACTTGAATTGCAGCTTCACTTCCAGGTTTTTTTTGTGATTAATTGGAGATAAGTCTCTTGGACTTTTCTGTCCAGGCTGGCTTTGAACCACAATCCTCAGATTTGAGCCTGAGTAGCTAAGATTACAGGTGTGAGCATTCAGTGCCCAGCATTTTCCTCCCTTTGAAAATATTTCCTAGACCCTATCTTACAGACTCAAGTTCATTGGGACATTATTAATATATATCATTTATTATTAATTATTTTATTGTTTTATATGTATATGTTTATTTAAATGTATAAGATCAGAAATGTACATTAATTTCTCAATTCGTATTGCTGGGTGGAAAGAATTTATTTCTTTAAAATAGATGCCTGCTGCTGGTGGCTCATGCCTATAATCCTAGCTACTCAGGAGGCTGAGATTTGAAGATCATGGTTCAAAACCAGCCCGTCAGGAAAGTCCATGAAGCTCTTACCTCCAGTAAACCACCCAGAAAGCTGGAAGTGGCACTGTGGCTCAAGTGGTAGAGTGCTAGCCTTGAGCTGAAGAGCTGAAGGACTGCACCCAAGCCCAAAGTTCAAGCCCCATGACCAAAAAAAATTAAACAAAATAAAATGTATGAGGTGTATATTTGAGCCACTGGCTTCTTTAAAAGCTCATCTTCAATATTTTCCTTCATTTCTCTGTTGTTGTTTATCCTATTTCTTACTTGTTACAGGATATGTTACATAAGTAGTCGGAAGAGAAATGTCATTTGTCCCACATAAACACACTGGAGCCTCTTACATCATGAACTCCTACTTTTGTTTTCCTTTTGAAATTCTCTTTCTCCCTAGCTTCTGCTTGGTTATATCTTCGCCATTTATTTATACCATCTTCCAAAACAATTGGTGATCCTAAGGAATAAAAGAATAAAAAGGAGGGGCTGGGAAGGTGGCTCAGTGGTAGAGCGCTTGCCTTGCATGCATGAGGCCCTGGGTTCGATTCCCCAGCACCACATAAGCAAAAAGAAAAAAGCCGGAAGTGGTGCTGTGGCTCAAGTGGTAGAGCACTAGCCTTGAGCTGAAGAGCTGAGAGACAGCGCCCAGGCCCAGAGTTCAGGCCCCACGACTGGACCCAAAAAAAAAAAAAGAATAAAAAGGAAATGTTTCCTGTCAGTGGCTATTACAGGACATACATAAATCATCCCCTATTCTAGGTTTTCCATGTGACGTGAAGGCAGAGCATTCACTTACGAAGTGCTGCGTATATCTGCCTCCTTCCAGTGCTCCAGCGACCAGTGTAGGAGAAAGCTTTGTCCTTCTCAGCATCTGACAGTCAGCCTCTCCTCGCCAGGTGTTCTTGTTCCCTGGTGTCAGTTATCTGACCCTCATTATATCTAGTCATCTTTGTTTTCTTCCATTAAAGTAAGATAGAAGGACACTGTTGCTGAGAAATGGATGCAGTTTGTATGTAAAAGTATCATTTGTTTAATTGAGGTTAATTATGTTCATTAATCTAAACTAATGATTTAGAAAACCTAATTTGGACCAGGAAGGGTTAGGTGTACAACCTACTATTAGGATGAGCACCGACTTTCAGGTTCTAAAGAAGGGGAAAAAATAGACAATTACTAACAGTTTCTTCATTATAAAGTATGCAGGATATTGTCTGGAATGTCATTGTCTAGAACTTTCTATGAAGATGATAATGTCCCATATTTGTGCTGGCCATAAGAAGCCTCTGTATTCAAGGTGCTGCTGCATATAGGAAATGTGGTTGGTGCAAATGATAGATTGAAATTTTAATTTTCTTTCATTTTAATTAATTGAGGTTTAAGGATAAATTGCCACATGTGATTATTATTAGCTAGTAGACTATAGACAAAAGTAGGACTAGATTTTGGTTGGAGAAATGTTACAAATAACGTGCCTGAGTTAAGTATCTGGTACATAAAAGGCTCTTAACATGCTATTTAATTACTTAGTATTATTTTCACTCTATAAAACATACAGTAGCCCACACTGGTGGTTCATGACTATAATCCTAGTTACACAGGAGAATAAAATCTGTGCTTTGTGGTTTGAAGCCAGCCGTAGCAGAAAAGTCCATGAGACTCTTACCTCCAATTAACTACCGAAAGGGCCTGAAGTAGATCTGTGGCTCAAGTGGTAGGTGCTTGAGCAAAAAAGCTGTGTTCAAGCCCCAGGACTAGTGCATGTGCACATGCGTGCGCACACACACACACACACACACACACACACACACACACACACACACACACAAAATCATCCAATAAAATGAACTGATGTTGATTAATATCTCAGATTTCTGAAGTTTTTGAGAGCTCTTTGGCATTTGCTTAGGTATCTGTTCTGCCAGGAGTTCTGTGTGACCACCATTTTCCTTTAGAGCCAAACTACATCATTCACTTTGAAATGCCAGACGAGACATTACTAATGAATCGCTGCTACTTTTTCCAGGTTTACTTGAGGAACCACAAACTCCACCTCCACTCCCTGCTGAAAAGCCTATTGGAAACACATACAGTACAGTGTCTGCAAAACTCAGTAATGCTGACAGAAGTAGAAATTCGGTAAGTTATCATTACAGGTTGTGTTAGGTGGGAGACAGAACCATGTACTAAATTTAAACATTCAGCTGATGTCTACATTATTTAAAAAAGGAAGTTTGAAAAATAAACTTACACTAGAAACCAGTTGCTACTGGGCATGATGGCCTTGCCTGTAATCTCAATACTTAGGAAGCTAAGGTAGGAAGATCTCAAGTTCCAGACTAGTCTGGACCACATAGTGAGATATGTGTCAAAAAAAGAGAAAAATTGCTAGCCCTACATCTCCAATTAACCACTAGAAAACCGGAAGTGGCTCAATGGCTCAAGAGGTAGAGTGCTTGCCTTGAGCTGAAGAGCTGAGGGACAGTGCCCAGGCCCAGAGTTCAAGCCCTACCACCAAAAAAAATGAGGAAAAGAAAAGTGAGAGTAATTCATTATGTTTTGTCATAAAATAAGGGCATATTTTAAAGGTACTAATAATGAAGTTATTAAAAAAGAAATCTTGAGGCCTCGGAGCATGGCTCAAATGATATTACACCTGCCTAGCAAGGGTAAGGCCCTGAGTGTAAACTATAGTAAACACCAAGGAAAATAAGACTTTTTATTTTTATTGAAGTAGATTTAGTCAGATTGTCACCTTTTATTGAAACTAGCCAAATAGTAATATGATTTTTAAGATAATTACCCTAAGAATTTTTCAATCTGAATTTTTTCTTCTGGACCAGTACTGGGGCTTGAACTCAGGTAAGATCTTGGGCACTATCCCTTAGCTTTTTTTGCTTAAGACTAGTATTCTATCATTTGAGCCACAGGTCTACTCTGGCTTTTTGGTAGTTAATTGGAGATAAGAGTCTCACAGACTTTTCTGCCTGAGTTGGATTCAAACCATGATCCTCAATTATCAGCCTCCTGCATAGCTAAGATTACAGGTGGAAACCGCATGTGTACTTGGCTCAATCTGAAATTTAAGGGGAAAAATTAGTTTTAAAAAATGAGGCCAGGCACTGGTGGCTCATGCCTGTAATCCTAGCTTCTTAGGAGGCTGAAATCTGAGTATTGGGGTTCGAAGCTAGCCCAAGTAGGAAAGTCTGTGAGAGTCCAATTAACTACTACCACCACAACCCTCAGTTTTAAAAAACGCCAGAAGTAGAGCTGTGACTCAAGTGGTAAAATGCTAGCCTGGAGCAGAAAAGTTCAGGGATAGCACCCAGGCCCTAAATTTAAGCCAATGGAGCAGTGCGCGCGCGCGCATACACACACACACACACACACACACACACACACACACACACACACACACACACACACACACACACACACACACACGTGATGATAATGCTTTATTGTACATCTCTTAGGATTAAGATTAAATCCACACACCTACATGATGTCAACTTTATTTATTTATTTTGCTGGTCTTGGGGCTTGAACTCAAGGCCTGGATTCTGTCCCAGAGTCTCTCTGTGCTCAAGACTGCCAAGACTGTCACCAGAAGTTGAGCCACTTCTGGTTTTTTCTGTGTATGTGGTGCTGAGGAATGGAACCCAGGGCTCCATGCCTGCTAGGCAACTAAGCCACATTGCCATCCCCATGATGTCAACTCTAATACCATTCCTTCATATGTTTAAAAAAATTCCACTTGGTAAATGATATTTAAGGCTTGTTTCAAGAGAAAAACATTTTTAATATCTTTGGACCAAGTTTTCAGTTCAAACATCATAATAGTTTATACTGTGTGTTAGCTGTGCTTATCATACATACAAATTCATCTAATCATCTAGTGAAGAGAAATTTCTTTGAAGGAGACATTAGATTAAATTAGCTAATATCAAGTTAATGAGATTTTTCTGTAGGATGAATTAAAATTGAATCATCATTTATATTTTCAAAGGGCTTGGTAATAAATTTTTATGAAAACTGGACTAAGAAAGTCCATAAGTAGATAGCAGCACTCTGCTGTATGTTGAATGAGAAAATCCCAAACTTCCCTGAAGGAAAAGTTCCTTGAACTTTCAGGCTTCTGCTCTGAGAGCATTATTAAAGGAAGAGAGAAGCCAGGAGCTGGTGGCTCACACCTGTAATCCTAGTGCCTGAGGAAGCTGAGATGTGCGTATTGCAAAATCAAAGCCACTTCAGGGAGGAAAGTCTGAGAGTCTCTTATCCCCAACTACCAAAAAGCCAAAAATCAAGGTATACCTCAAGGGGTAGAGAGCTAGCCTGGAGTGAAATTTTTAAGGCCCTATGTCCCAGCACCAGCTGGTACAAAATAAAATAAAAAAATAAATGAAGAGGGAGAAGAGCTTTTACATTCAGTAAGTAATCTACAAAGCTTTATAGGGCTTTTGTTAAATGTAATGTTAAGTAGTCCACAAGCATTCTAGGAAAACAAGAAAAAGAAGCTAGACTAAACTAAATTCTGTGGACATGTACTCCATTCATCATGTGCTTGTGCCTCATGTGACCGACGCAAGGCAAAGCCTGCCTTGCTCTACTTACACAGGACGTTAGAGTGGCTTGTGCTTTCACAAAGGCACACCAGCACAGACACCTGACTCTGAAAAAACAAGAGAGAATAGACCTCCGGTGAAAGGACTTGTTTACAATCACACTGATTATCTTGAAGCCGAGTCACACGTCCTCTTGTTTGAGAATTAGAATCACTAAACACATTTTAGATCAGACCGGAAGGATAGAGGTGTGGCTGAGGGGCTGTAGAAGGACCTGTGACCAGACCGTAAAGACTAAAAGTATAGATGAGGGCTGGAAACCCTGTACCATTACTCCCTCCATGAGTGTTGGGGAGCTTTCCATCTACAGGTGGATGGCTGCAGCTGCCAGGCCTTGGTCACCTTCACTTAAACAATGAGGGACTCCTGTTGTGGTACATAGAACGTGGGTGCACAGACTCTCAAAGCATCCCTCACCGACACCACCAACTTGTGCAGGAGAGTTGGGAGACACTGCAGAACCCACGCAAGGAACCAGCCATAGAACTCTGAAGTGTGGGTGAAATTCTGATTTAAGATTTGCTCATCATAGAAAATCAAGAAATTAAAAAGATCCTCCACAAAAATACCGCCACTTGGGTTGGGATGTAGCTCAGTGGCAAAGCGCTTGCTTAGCAAGTGCAACATCCTGGGTTCAATCCTGAGGAGGAGGGGGGGGGAGGGGAAGAAGAAGAAAAGAAAAGACAGTTAAAAAAAAAAAATACCACCAGCTGCCAGTGGTTCACTCCTGAAATACCTGCTGCTCAGCAGGCTAAGATTTGAAGCCATCCCGGGTAGAAAATTCCTAAAGACTTCATCTCCAATTAACTAGAAAAAAAAAAAAAACTAAACTAAAACAGACTGCAGGTTCAAGTGGTAGAACACCAGCCATGAGCTAGCAAGCAAAGCAAGTACCAGGTTCTGCGTTCAAATCTCAGTACTGCCAAAATTAAATACATAAAAAGTTTCTCCCTAGCTGCTAGGGTTTGTTTTGCTTGCTGTAATTTTAAATGTGGCCAAAAGAAAAAATTTTTCATTTTATTCCAGCAGCATTTTCAGAAAAAAAAATACAAGTAGCAACATATTTATAAGACACAGATTACATACTGGAATATTGCAGGGTTTATGGACTAGTGATTCACCTCACTACATTAACTGAGCTCATTAGTGAAACCAAATTTTAAAGGCAAGCATAATTTGTTTTTAAAAATGGGATTTAAAACATCGAAACATGTTTAAATGAGCACAGTTATTGGCAATTAATCATTTAGTATTTAAGGAAAAGTTATAAATGCTCAGTGAATTTAAAATCAGAAAAGTATGCTATAACTCATTTATAATCTGAATTTTCCTATTTTCCCAAAATATGATTAAACTCTCTTTACAAAAAAAAAAGTAGCAGTTGAATTTTACAAGGATACCCCCTTCCCTCATGAGGTCTTGGAGAAATTTTGTCATAGGTGTCATGCTACTGTCTAAGTAGGAAAGGAAAAAATCTTTTAGAAAAGTTTTAAATTCTGACTGAAAAATATAAGATAGTTGGAATGAAAAGAAGTTGTTAGGAATTTAGGAATTGGGGGAGAAGGCCACAAGTTTTTGTCTGAGGTACCTCGGCACTAAATGACATCATAGACCAAATGCACTTACCAGACATCTACAGAATACTTCACCCAGCAGTTACATAATATATAATCTTCTCAAAAACCAACAAAAACTTCTCCAAAATAAATACTATTGTAGAACATGAAGCAATCTTAGAAAATGCCAACAAAATTGAAATAACTCCCTGTATTCCAGCATACCATAATGGAATTAAACTGGAACTCAACAGCAAAAGATACTCCTGAAAATACTCAAAACATGAGAAGTCTGAAAGTGGTAGAGTACTAGCCTTGAGCAAAAGAGTTCAGGGACAGCACCAGGCCATGAGATCAAACCCCATTATTACACACACACACACACACACACACACACACACACACACACACACCTGGAAACAGCACCAGGCCATGAGATCAAACCCCATTATTAACCACCACCTACACACCCAAACACACACACACACACACACACACACACACACACACACACACCTGGAAACAGCACCAGGCCATGAGATCAAACCCCATTATTAACCACCGCCTACACACACACACACACACACACACACACACACACACACACACACACACACCTGGAAACAGCACCAGGCCATGAGATCAAACCCCATTATTAACCACCGCCTACACACACACACACACACACACACACACACACACACACACACACACACCTGGAAACAGCACCAGGCCATGAGATCAAACCCCATTATTAACCACCACCTACACACACACACACACACACACACACACACACACACACACACACACACACACACACACCTGGAAACAGCACCAGGCCATGAGATCAAACCCCATTATTAACCACCGCCTACACACACACACACACACACACACACACACACACACACATCCTGGAAAAGCCAGGCACTGTAGCATACACCTGTGATCCTAGTTGCTGAGGCTATAAACTGAGGGTGGAGGTTTGAAGCCAGCCTGGGTAGGAAAGCTCTTGAGACTCTTATTTCCAGTTACTGTCAAAAAGCTGCTCCTCAAGAGGTAGAGTGCTAGCTTTGAGCGGGCACTAAAGCCAAACAACAAAGCCTAGGTCCTGGTTCAAGCTCTACTACTGGCACTAGGTATGTAGGTTAGGTAGATAGATAGATAGATAGATAGGTAGATAGATAGATAGATAGATAGATAGATAAAAACTTAACATTCTAGGGGCTGGGAGTGTGGCTTAGTGGTTGAGTGCTTGCCTAGCATTCATGAAGCCCTGAGATTGATCCCTCACTACCACATGAACAGAAAAAACCGGAAGTGGTGCTATGGTGCAAGTGGTAGAGTGCTACCCTTGAGCAAAAGACACTCAAGGACAGTGCCCAAGCCCTGAGTTCAAGCCCCAGGACTGGCAAGAACAAAATAAACAAACAAAAACTAACATTCTTACTCTCTGTCCTTCAGTTTTCCTATCTCTCCACTCTTCCCTATAAAACACTTCTCAGCCCATTCCACCGCCTGCGGTGGTGTTATTTACTTGGACCTCTCTTTCTCCCTCCACGGCATCCTCTCACAACACTCCTTAATGTCCCTTTTATATTCCCCACCTGCTTTAGTTCAAACTCTCCTGCAAAATGTTGAAACCATCTCAGAAGGAGATAAAGATCTGCATGTTCAAAGCAAAACAAACTAATAACCACTTCACTTAGCATGTGTTTAAACTCAGGAACAGAGTGTTTCCTGTGTATACTAGGATGGATAAATACCAAATATTTGTTTATAGTGCCTGCTTGAATCGTTATTGAGTTAACCTAGTGTGATTTACACATCACCCTTTCATAGCTCATGAATCACAAGGTATCAGGCCAACACACATAGGTTTCTTTCTCTAGCAGTTTTTTTTTTTTTTTTTTTTTTTTACCTATATTAGGACAGACAATTGAGTAGGAGTGAGTAATAAATTAATAGCTTATCTGAAAAGTATTTTCAGCTATTTTCTGTAACTCATCTATACTTCCTCTCACAAACCCAGCTAGAAAGCTGTCTAAAATGCCTTTAGACCAGCTCATGTTTTATATTAACTCTGAGTGAAAAAAACTTTCTTTTATACTTGTAGGAATCTGACCACGCCAGTGATTCAGGAGGTTTGATGCGAGGACCCCCAAGGTTGCCACCAAGGTAAATAAACTATGGGGAATGTTAGAGAAAAATTAATGGCTCAGCCAGGTAATGACTGTTCATGCTGATAGTCCTAGCTTCTCAGGATGGTGAGATATGAGGATTGCAGTTCAAAGCCAACCCAAGCAGGAAAGTCTGTGAGAGTCTTATCTCCAGTTCACTACCAAAAAGCCAGAAGTAGAGGTGTGGCTCAAGTGATAGAGGGCCAACCTTGAACAATAAGTCTAATAACACCTTGGCTCAGTTCAAGCCCCAGTACCCGCACCAAAAAGAAAAAGAAAAACAGCTCAGAGTTTTAATCCCTCCCCCCCCCTTTTTTTTTCCAGAGGTGAGGACCAAACTCAGGGCCTTGCGCTCACCAGGAGGGCGCTCTTCCCTGAGCTAAACTCCCTCAACCCCTTTTTCTACCTTGCAGAACAAGTATTTTTACTTATCCTCAAATAAATGAACAAGACTACCTTCCATACCCAAAACAACTCCACTTCTGGAATACAGACATACTCAGCTAAGTGGGACAGACCTGGTATTTGGAATTCCTAAAAGGCCACAGGCTCTGGGATGTCCAGGTGACTAGGTGCTGAGTTCCAGGGCTGTTGGAACAAAAGGCCATGTTGCTATCATAACACTTTGCCACAGTGAATTTTTTTTCTACTCTAGGATGAAGGAATCACTAACCTGTCTCATTTTCAGAACTGGTTTTATGTTCATCTAAATTGAGGTTTTAATAGTAACTCCGATAACAGGAACATTAGGGGAGTTTGATGTTCCTTTTCTAATTACACAAAAGACTCTAGCACATGCACCTGTGAGCTTATTATAAGCTGTTCATCTGAGGCTTGGTAGAGAGTGCTTAGTTTCCTGCAACAGTCATGGAGTGTTTAAGAGCAGTGAGGGCCTTAGAGAGCTCGTGATAGTAAACGCTTGTTTGTCTTGAGCTAATGAATCTCTAGTGCAAAATAAGAGGAAGCTGCCATTTCCTCTAATAATATAATGTTTAATGCAACAGTCATTAGCTCAAAAATAGCATGCCCTGCAGGTTTCAGCATACTATATTCCACTAGCAGAGAAGCTATATGTGTGTGTTTAGAAAAGAAAAAAATAAAAAGGACAAAACAGAACCTAATGCCAATCAAAACACTAACTCGTGGTGATGCCTTGCTTTTCAGACCTGCAAACGGAAAAGCCATTCCAACTCGACGGCCTCCTTCCAAAGGAGCCCCCGAGAGACCACCTCCCCCCAAACTTTCTGCCACCAGAACATCAAAAAAACTGCCTTTTAGCCGATCATCCTCTGAAATGGATCTTCAGAGAAAACAAAGTCACTTGGCATCTGGACTCTCAAAAGCCAAGAGTCAAGTCTTCAAAAGCCAGGATCCGGTGCTACCCCCTCGCCCCAAACCAGGACACCCTCTCTACAAGAAATACATGGTAAATTAAGCCTTTAAGATGTTTACAGTTTAAAGATTTGCTCCAGAATATGCACTATATCCATTATTTCTCAGGAAAAGCTATTGAAACAAATGTGGAATTGTCCTTTGACTCTGAGTGCTTTAGATAAATTGGCTATAAGAGAACTTTAAAGCAGGGTGTGTTTTTTGTTGTTGTTGTTATTTGTTTATTTTTTGAAACTGGGGATTGAACCCAGGCTGTTATACTTACTAGACAAGCACTTTGCCACTGAGCTACATCCCAGCCCCTAAAGCAGGGTCTTTAAAGCACGTTTCATTATGAGACACACAGGGAAGGAGGAAACAGGCAGCCAGACAGTAGAAAAGGAAATCAAAAGTTATTACTAGGATAAGCAGACATCTATGAATTTTTTTTCTACTTTGTAAACCTAATTATAATAGTCCATTTAATAGCTACCAGTTAAAACTAATTTTTATCAGTAATTAAGATTATTGAGTGTTTTGTTTTTTGTTTGTGTTAGGATTTTTTTGCTTTTGTTTTGTTATGGATTTTCTGTTTTGGTTTGGTTTGGTTTTGATACAGGGCCTGACTTGTAATCCAGACTAGCTTTGAACTTAATTTGTAGCCCTGGCTGGCTTCAAACTCACAATCTTCCTGTCTCCTGCCTCCCAAAAGCTAAGATTTTAGGTGTAGGCTGCCATGCCTAGCAATAGTCAAAATATTAATTCTGTTTTCTTTAATATTTTCCTATCAAACAACTTTTGCCTCCATTTCCCCCCCCAAAAAAACAAAAAACAGAGTTAAGGAAGTGGCGCTGTGGCTCAAGTGGTAGAGCGCTAGCCTTGAGCTGAAGAGCTGAGGGACAGCGCCCAGGCCCAGAGTTCAGGCCCCATGACCAATAAAAAAAAAGAAAAAGAAAAAATCTGAAGAAAAATAAAATAATAAGGAGAGCAGGATTGGCTGAACTTATATTAAAGCAATTGAATGATACTGCAGCTAGTTGACTAAAATAGCAATTAATAATTTTATATTGTTCTACATTTCCACCATTGATCTAGAAATTGTTTTTACTTTAAGCTGTTCAAGGTTTTAGGGTTTTTTTAGAGCTGAGGACTGAACTCAGGGCCTTGCACTTCCCAGGCAAGTGCTCTTCTATTGAGCTAAATCCCCAACCCTAAAGGTTTTCTCTTTTGAGAAGAGAATAGACAGACAAGAATAAATAAATATATTCATATTTATTTAAACTAGTGAGACTTACTGCCTTTTGACTAAGATCAAGTATAAACTGATGAAACTTTAATTACCAAAACCCAGTGGTGTCTTTTGGAATAGATTCTTTGATAAATAAATACAAGCATCAATAGTAATTGGCATGTATTGAATACTAATTATGAGTCAGACACTGTTCAAAACACTTTATATGTTAATCTTATGAGTTAGGTGCTATTATTATTCTAGTTGCACAAGTGAGGGAAATAAGATTGAGAGATGAAGCCAAGTTGAACCAAGATTTGAACACAGGCCAACTGGCTCTGAGCCCATGTTCCCCACTGTTATGCTATGCTTCAAACCCAGTGTTACTAGTTGTAAAGTCTCTACTACCTTTGACCATTCTATACTAAGAGCCCTTATTGAGGGATGAGGTGAGAAATGGGGGGGGGGGGGGGCAGTAACAGTACTGGGGCTTGGACTCCAGGCCTCACACTGTCTTCATGGCTGGAGCTCTACCCCTTGAACCATGCCAACACTTCTGGTTTTATGCTGGTTAATTGAATATGAGTCTCTTGATTTTGTCTGCCCAGGATGACTTACAACCACAATTCTCACTCAGATCTCAGCCTCCTGAGAGCTAGGATTTAAGATATGAACCACTAGTCTAGTTTCACTTAGGGCTCTTACATAACTGACATTATGTCAGTAAAACATGTCAGAACGCAAAGGGATTAATACATTCAAAAGATAGTGGGTTTAGTATGGCAAATCTCATTATGAAAGAACTCCTTAAATCAGTTCTTCATTTTTCCCCCATGCCATTGAATTTCTTGCCAGAAATCTGAGTATATTGGTAGTCCTGGGACTCTATGGAAACACCCAAAAGTAATATTATATACCCCAGCCTTACAATGTTGTGTAATACTAAACAACATTGGCTCTTGGATGATCCAAAAGCCTTAGCAGTCTTCTTTCCACATTGGAAGTGAACTTGAATGACTACTTTTCCTCAATGTGTATTGTATATTGTACAGATCCTCTGATCTACAGTCACCAACCAGAATTCACCAAAACATGGACCAGAGCCCCCTCATTAGAGTGTGCACAGAATAAAAACCATGGCAGTTGCTGCAGGCCTTAAAGTGGATTTGAGACAGTGGGTGTGAGGGAGACTGTAGGGATGAGGCTCAAGGCATACGGTAGCCAGTGTAGGGAGAGCTCTAATCCTGACAGCCTTTTGTGAACCCTGAATTAAAAACATGCCTTGAGCTGGGCACCAGTGGCTCACACATATTAGCTAGCTAGATATAGTAGCTCCTAGCTACTCAGGAGGCTGAGATCTGAGGACTGTGGTTCAAAGCCAGCCTAGGTGTACAGCCCTTGAGACTCTTATCTCCAATTAACCACCAGAAAACCTGAAGTGGTGCTGTGGCTCAAGTGGTAGAGCGCTAGCCTTGAGTTGAAGACCTTAGGGACAGCGCCCAGGCCCAGAGTTTAAGCCCTATGACTGACCAAAAAAAAAAAAAAAATGCCCTGACAGGCTGTGAGGTCAGCTGCTAAGAACTGATCCTTTAGTCCCTGGGGACTTCACCTAGCTGTGATTGTTAGAGGAAACTTGAAGCCATATGCATCCTTTGTTGGAAATAGCAGACCCCACTTGATCCAGGGTGTGGAGTTTTTGATCCTGAGCAGAGAGAAGTTCTACTTTAGGTACTAATGTGCAATCCCCAAATGATAAGCAGTTTGCCAGAAGTTTGGGTGACTATGAGTAATTTTCTTCCTGGTTTACATTTTCAGCTGTCTGTGCCTCATGGACTCTCCAATGAAGACATTGACTCACAAAAGCCCACAGAGCTCTCCTGTAAGGTAAGGTGGAATGCTACCAAAAAGGAAAATGGAAAAGATTGCTGCCCTCTGATACTGCTATGACACATTATTAAATGCTTTAGGCTCCCAAGATTAAAAAGTGGAGAAGTAATAATATTTTATTAATAATAATTGCTTCAGCAAGTGGTATTGTACCTTGCAGTGCGGGGATGTACTTGTGATTCTGAAGCAGGCAGAAAATAATTACTTGGAATGCCAAAGGGGCAAAGGGACTGGCAGAGTTCACCTGTCTAAGATGAAAATTATCACTTATCCTGATGAGCAGCTTAGGAGCAGATCTGAAGTAAGGAATTAATATCACACAGCCTTCCTATCAAACATGGTAACACACATCATAGAACTATTAATTATATCCCATCCCCCTGGTTTTTTATTAGCACAGTCATTTTAACCAGAGCAAAAACTACAGTAGCATTTTATTCCATTTTTAGAATAAATTGCTTCTAAGAGACTGACTCACTCTTACCATCCTAATCACTTCAAAGCACAGAGGCAGAAAGTCTTTCATGTGGTTGTTCTGGCTTACAGAAACTTGAATGCTCACTCATGATTTTTCAATGGAGTGAGCTGTTTATTTTATTTTATTTTTTAAATAATGTGAGCCTGTTGCCAAAATGCCAGAGATTCATTTGCTAGCATAATGGGTAATTATTTTAAAAGGGACCATAGAAATGCTACATCTGATGTAAGAGTGCTTCCTTTTAAGATGTACACTTAATGTAAACCTCATTTCTCTTGATTTTAGCTCATAAAATAATGAAATATATTGCAACAACCCTCCAGTCACAATTTAGGCCTTACAAATTTGTGGATCCTGGTAAGATGCATGGATTATTGAAGGCCATCTGTTTAGAAAGAGAAATGCTATTTAACATTACTATAGGGGCATACTTTTCATTTTTTATTTTTATCTATTTTCCCCTCTGTGGTGCTGAGGATTGAACCCAGAGCTTTGCTCAAGCTGGGCAAGTGCTCTACTACTGAACTATTTCCCCAACCCTAGGTGTATTTCTAAAAGAGCTTATTAAGTTACCCAGTTAAGTTTTTATTGTTGCTTCACATAGTATATATGAAAGATAATGTCTATCCATTGTTCAGTCCTTACAAACTATTTGGTTCATTCTTCATCCTAGTTTTTAGTCTTGTCCAATAATTTTCATAGAAGGCAGTTTATCATTTCTCAGTCTACTAAGAAATTGAAACTTTGAATTTTGGAGAAGGATAGAGAAGAAATGTATCCAGCTAGTTGTAACTGGCATGTGAGAGGTCTAACCAGCTCACATAGGCAAAATCTGTTATTACTCATTTTTCTCTACATTTTGGTTCCGCATTTTATGTCTGTTTTATCTGTCCTCTCAGAATACTTTTATGGTAACATAGTGTTACAAAAGTCTGCTGTTATCATCATCATTACCATCATTGTTGTCATTACTATCATAATTAACACACATTAATTGTACAAAGGCGAGTTCATTGTGATATTTATGGGAAAGTGAGAGTCTGTCACCCAGTACTGTCAACTTCCACCCCGCATGGTCATTTAATCCTCTGAACTTCATTTGTGAAGGATGAGGTATGTATATACCTCACAAAGTTGACTTTGGAATTGACATAATAAGGTTCTATTTGTATAAAAATCCAGAGAAGTAGTGATTCAAACAGAACATATTTAGTACTTGCAACTATAGAATCTTATACTATGGAATATTACACAGTCATAAAGAAAAATGAAATCATTGTATTTGCAGGAAAAAGGATGAAAGTAGAGGATATCATATTGAGACAAGCCAAGGTCAAAAACAAAATATATTTTCACCCATATATGGAAGGTATATCTAAAAATATACATGCATATATACTTGTATACATATATATGTATATATATGGATAAGTCAAGAACATTCATCTAAGGAACTAAGAAGAGAAGGGGAAGAGGAAAAGTAAAAAGTTAGATGGAAAGAGCATAATTTTGAAATACATTGTAAGTATATATGAAAACAGCATTAAGATGGTGATAAATAGAGAGGTGAGAGGCCAGGCAAAGAGAAACAGGTTCTGTTGGAAGGGTAAGGTCATAATGGGAGGAGTTTGAGCTAACAAGGTAGATGAAAGAGGATGAATATGAGCAAAGTAGATAGTTTGCATATATAAAAACAAAATAATGAAACCTTTGAAGTTGTTTTAGAAAGGAGGGAAGTGGAGTAGGAAGGGATGAGATTGACTAGAATACATAGTCAACAGGTTTGGAAATGTCACAGTGAAATCCCCTTTCGATAACTAATGTATAGTAATAACAAAAGCCATAAGTAAATAAATAGATTCTGCAAAAAAAAAAAAAAAAAAATCCAGAGAAGGCAAATTCCTGGATTCATGATTAGATTAGGTACTGAGGAGAGGGGTAAGTGGGGAGAGACCTCTTATGAATAGGAAGTTTCATGTGTGAAATTTTCCCCCAGATACCCACACTGGTGGTGTGGTCTACAGGGTACCGAGCCCACAGGACGACCCCATCTAGCCTGTCTACTTTCCCTTCACCAGTAGCTGAGCAGCATTATCTGGGATATCTCCACATTGAAAGTGGAGGGGCTCAGGTTACCTTCCCATACTCCCAGGCTAGGACATATGAAGATCTTTGGTCCATTTGGAGACTCATGTTTGTCCTGTGAAGGAGATCAATCTCTGATTTTATCTTTTTTTTCCAAATAGATAGTCATCTAGTTTAATACCAGTTCTTGAATAGCTTTCCCTTTTTTCACAAATACCAATCATTTGAAAAAGGAAAATGTCACATACAGATGTATAGTTACATCATGTAAATTACTCTTTTGTTGGTACTGGGTTTTGAACTCAGTGTTTATGCTTATTAGGCAAGCACTGAACCACCAAGCCTGGCCTCTAATCCTTTTTAAATACTGGTTACTTTGAGATACTGATACTTTGAGTCTTACTTTTTTCCCAGGCCCATGCCTGGATTGTAACCATTCTCTTTTATACTTCTCACCATCCCTGGGATGATCAGCACACTCCACAGTGTCCAGCTTCTTCATTTGAAATGGTATCTCACAAACATTTTTTTGCCTGAGCTGGCCTGAACCATCATCCTCCTGATACAGGTTTCCCACATAGCTAGGATGATTGGCAGGAGCCATCTCACCCAGCTGTCTAAGCTGAGAGTGGGATCTCAAGGATTTTTTTTTTTTTTTTGCTGGGCTGGCTTTGAACCACAATCTTCCTGATCTCAGCCTCTCCCAAGTTGCTAATTACTGACCTGTGCCACCTCACCTAGGATAAATAACAATTGTGAAAGCTACTTCAAACCTAAAATAATTCCTTTCCACTTCCATGTTGCTTATTTATTTAAGGAAAAATGTCACATAGTCCCTGAGACAATGTTAAGGTTGCATTAGTAAACTGATACAGAAAGCTTCTTTTGCCATTACTGGCTTCCCTGAAGTTACATTCAGCTTACCTAATTCAAGAGAATGCAGTTTGCCCTGTGGTGCCAAAAGAGCAGATGAGATTCGGAAAAGATCTGAACAGAAGTGCTGCAGGACAGGAAGCGAGAAAATGGGCCATTACCATATGGTCTGCCTGAGCCAGAGGAGCAGAGACAGAGAAGGATCTGAATTAATCCTAACAGGACAGAAGTGATGAGAGGAGGAACACAAAACTCTGCCTTTATTTCTTCATGAAATTAAATTTCATTAATTTTTTCATTAAATTTGTTTTTTGTTTTTCTTTTTTTTTGCCAGTCCTGGGGCTTGAACGCAGGGTCTGGGCTCTGTCCACAAGCTTCTTTTGCTCAAGGCTAGCACTCTACCACATGAGCCACAGTACCACTTCCCGCTTTTCAAACCCAGGGCTTCACACATGCTAGGCAAGCACTTTACCACTAAGGCACAGTAAATTTGCATTTTAACTGATAACAACCTGAGGGTACAGCTCAGTGGAAGAGCACTTGTCCGACATGTGAGAGGCTCTGACTTTGATCTAGCATTGCAAAAGCTAAATAAATGCATGATGTCCTTCATTTGATGATAATGACGAAGATTATGATGATGATGATGATAAGTCTGTCTCTTCATATAATGATAGAAGAAGTGGTGGGGTACACCTATAATCCCAGCCAGGAGGTTGACATAGGAAGATCACGAGTATAAGGCCAGCCTGGGTATAGCTCAGAGGTAGAGCTCTTGACTAGCTTGTGCAAGGCCCTGAGCTCAATCCCCAACACTGGTGGTGGGTAGAAAGAGATGAAATGAGAAAGAATAGGGGAGAAACTTAGAATAACAACTGCATGTCAATAAGAAAGGGTCCCTTTTCAACCTGATCCTCTCCCCTCCAGCCTATCTAGGACATTGCTAGATAGGTGGAAAATATGACACTCCTGTTACTAATTTACTTAGAATTACTGTTGAATAAACCATTCCAATTAAATAGAAAAGCCAGGCATAGTAGGTGGCATTGCTTTCAAATTAGAAAAAAGCATTCAGTTAAGTGGTAATAAATGAAATGGATTTTACTTTTTGTGAATTATACTTCTGTGGGAGTTCATTACCTTCCTTCATTACAAAAGGCAAGAACTTAAATTGCAGAACTTTCTGCTTTTTCCATCCTAATAAAGACACAACTTGGAAGGATCTGTTCTTACTTTAAAGGAAAAACTACCTTTAAGGAGAATGAAGTTGCTGGGCACTGGTGGCTTATACCTATAATCCTCAAAAACAATAATAGCAAAACACTGCTTTTTGAGTATTTTCTTTTCCTTTTAAATTAAGTTCTCTTTTTTCAGTTTAAAAAGCAAACATGCAAGGGGCCAGGTATCAGTTGCTCACACTTGGCCTAGCAACTCAGGAGGTTGAGATCCAAGGATCATGGTTCCAAGCCAGCCCAAGCAGGGAAGTCTGTGGGATTCATTGCTCAAGTGTCAGAGTGCCAGCCTTGAGCAAAAAGCCCAGGGGTAATGCCCAGGCCACGAGTTCAAGCCTCAGGACCAGCACAAAAAATAGAGTAAATCAACATGCAGGAGATATTATAACTCAGAGTGTTTTCTATCCTCCCTTGGCAAGGACACATTCCTTTCCAAGTACATAATGATTCTCTTGTTCAGCTCACCTGTGTTGTTTGCATCTTGTACTCACGTAACATAAGGGTGTCAAGGGGACTGTAGTGAGAAAAACAGTCGCTCTCAGGGGGAGTCATAATAATGGAGCGCATACCCTGCACACTTTGCTCATAGCCCTGTCTTTCCCCTAAGGAGTTGGGCCTTGCTCAGAAGCCAGTTGGCAGTAGTGCTCCTCATGCCGTCGTCCTTCATGATTTCCCAGCAGGTAAGGACATCAATAATGAGTCAATAGAGCACTGGGACTAGAAGCAGGGGTCGTCCTCGGAGTAATCACTCAGATATGGCTGCCTCACTTTCAGTGCCTGGCGTACCCAAGCCTGGGCTGTCTGTTATCCACCACTCAAGAAGGGTCCCCTGTGCCCAACCTTTCCAGACAGCTTAGCTGCATTCCAGGCCTTGGAAACTCCAGAGGGAAACAGAGACAGAGAGAGAGTCCCTTTCAAGTGAAAAAAATAGCAAATTGCCTACCAGTTGCAAACTTTCTACCTCTTTCAAAATAATAGGTACTAATTAACCATTGTCATAACAACTCTAATTTAATAAGTGAAGTTTTTTGGCCCTAAGATTTCTCTGACCTGTGACTTACCCATGAGATGAAAATATAAAGTTCTATCATCATTTTTAAATACCATTCATATCCAAATTAAACTAAACCTTTTATTTATTTACCACTTCTTTTTTAAAGATATATTTGGCAGACTGATATTTAGTTTAATGTGGCAACTTTACTTGCGAAAGGGCTATAAGACTTCCTTAGTTAATTTGAAGCTGGTTTGACTTTTTTTTTTTTTTTTTGTCGGTTATAGGGCCTGAACTCTAGGCCTGGGTGCTGTCTCTCAGCTCGTCAGCTTAAGGCGAGCGAGCACTCTACCACTTGAGCCACAGCGCCACTTCCTGTTTTCTCAATGGTTTATTGGAGATAAGAGTCTCACAGACTTTCGTGCCCAGTCTGGCTTTGAACCGTGATCCTCAGATCTCAGCCTCCTGAGTAACTAGGATTTCAAGCGTGAGCCACTGGCACCCAGCTGGCTTTTTTTTTTTTTTTTTTAAAGGAAACACAAGTGGTGCATTTTTAAAAAATTTATTGTAAAGGTGGTTACAGTTACAGTTAGGTTACAGTTACACAGTTACAGTTACACAAATGAAGTACTGAGTACATATCTTTTCAAATACTGTTACCCCCCTCCCTCATTTTCTCCCACTGACCACTGAAATGAATGTTAAGAATTACTGGAAATAATGGTAACTGTATTATCATATCTATAAATCCTTTCCTTGTTCAGTGTGTATTTAATTAGTTTATATAGGCACAATTGGAGCCATTGGCCAGCAGAATGGTCTTTTGGATGGTTTTAGGAGTGTTGGATTTTTGTTTTGTTTCTGTTTTTTAACATTTCCCATCAATCAGTGCAAAGTAGATAATTTGGTCTTAGGAGAGGAAGCTCCCAATGTCAGAATCTAAACTAAGAATAATATTTTATAGCCAGGCGCAAAATAAATAATAATATTTTATAAAAGTTAAATTTGATTAGTATAATCTTTTCTCAGAATGTACTACCTGTGTGGACAGAACTGAGTGCAAGGTGTTTGCTGTTTTTTTTTTCCTATAATCAAATCTGCAAGTGAAATAATTTATCATATGTAACTTCTGATTTTATATTACAGAGCAAGTTGATGATTTGAACCTCACATCTGGAGAAATTGTTTATCTGCTTGAGAAAATAGATGCAGAATGGTATAGGGGTAAATGTAGAAATCAGACTGGTGTATTTCCTGCCAACTATGTCAGAGTAATTGTAAGTAGGTTGTATTGCCCTCATTTATCATCTACTCAGTGAGATCCAAGCAAATTGCTGGTTGCCAAAAGTTAAATAACAAGAAGCCTAGAACCTTGAGTTTCAGACCTCTCTCCTCCATTGGTTCATTTGACTTTTGGAAAATTCAAACAAAAAATTTTAAGTAGGTAATGAATGATTATTATTATATTATGAAGTCTTAGAACATAATGCTTAAATACTATCTGAGCTCTAAAGTGAAAGACCACCATAGGTCAAGTGGTAAATCAAATATTCTCAGAGGGTGGTTGAGCACTGAAGATATACTTTAATTCATTGTGACATTTAGCAAATGGGAATTAAATGGTGCTACATAGTCCCAAAAGGATTCTAAGGTTATGGTACCAAATCACTTTGAGAATTCTATAGCTCTATGATTAGAGTTAATGGACCATTAATGGTTCATTAATGATTACAATTCTGATTGGGAAAAATTATGTGGAAGAATCATAATTTTATACATGACTTAACTTGAGACCATACACTCCTGTGTTGGAGCTTTTCAAGCTAAGCCCCTCAAACATTTATATCAATAGGAAAAGTATGACTTGCTCCCTGCTAGAATGTATTGCTACCTAGAAATCTCAATAAAGCTATCTTAAATAATTCAGCATCAATAACTTATTTGCAGATGGAGAGGGGGGAGTACAGTAAAATTTTATTATATTAGAAACAGTATAACTAAAAATCTTTTCAGATAGAAATGGTTTGAATCTTTTGGGTTTCAAAATGTAGGTCTTTTAAAACTGCCGAGCATGTATATGGCCTGATTCTTTGGAGAAACTCAACACATTCTCTAAATTAATATTAAGAATAATGTTAGTTTTAGCACTCTTCCTCATTTTTCTTCTGCTCATTGTAGCAGGACTTTAAAAAGCACAATTACCACACTGAAATCAATTACCAGAGTCTGCTACATTATTATTGCAACTGTTATTTCTAAGCCCATAAGTTTAAAAAAGTGTTTTAAAACTTCAAACTTGTAGAATTCATCAAGAAAGGCACTGATTTAATATAAACCGCAGAGCCTTAAGTAGTTTCAGACTACATGCAAATGTCCAAGAATTTTATTACATTCCATTGCCATTATAAATGAGGTTCATGTAAAGTAGACACTCATTTAAGATGAATTCCCTTCTCCCTTCCCTGCTCATATTGAAAGGGGAAATGCTTCAGATTATGAAATGGAGAGAATCAAGTTGTTGTTGTTGTTCTATGCCAGTACTGAGGCTTGAACTCAGGGCCTTTCACTCTACCTTAGCCTTTTTCTTTCAAGGCTGCCACTCTGCCCCTTGAACCACAACTCCACTTCTGGCTTTTTGCCAGTATGATGAGTGTCTTAGGGAAGTGGTGCTGTGCTCAAGTGATAGAGCGCTAGCCTTTAACTGAAGAGCTGAGGGACAGCACCCAGGCCCAGAGTTGAAGCTTCACAACCAACTAAAAAAAGGCTGCATATTACACCAGGTGCCGGGGGCTTATGCCTGTAATCCTAGCTACTCAGGAGGCTGAGATCTGAGGATCATGGTTCAAAGCCAGCCCAGGCAGGAAAGTGAGGCTCCAATGAATCACCAGAAAACTGGAAGTGGCACTGTGGCTCAAGTGGTAGAGCACTCGCCTTCAGCTGAAGAGCTGAGGGACAGTGCCCAGGCCCAGAGTTCAAGACCCACAGCCAACCAAAAAAAAAAAAAAGTTTTGGATTTTGTCTGCTCAGGCTGCTTTTGAACTGAAATATTCACATATCAGCCTCCTCAGTAGTTAGGATTACAGGCATAAGCCACAGATACCCAACTTGATCAAGCTGTTTTATTTTGGGTCAGCCTTGTAGAATCCTGCATGCCTTGACCATGTGTGCTGGTGCTGATGGGTGTGCCTTATGGCTGCTTTCTGTCTGGAGCCCTTCTCCACTGAAGTTTTTGGGTTGTGGACATGGAATAGAAAAACTCAATACAGGGTAGAATTAAGTTAATGTGCTGTTAGCCTGTAGCTAAGAGGACTGATCCTCAAGGAGAGCTGGGGCTAGAGGCATGGCTCAAGTGGTAGAGTACCTACCTGCCTACCAAGTGTGAGGTCCTGAGTTCAAACCCCAGTACCGACAAAACAAAACAGATCAAAGAGTGCTGGGGCATCATGAGCTATTTTTTTTTTTGGGGGGGGGGTCCGGTCATGGGGCCTGAACTCTGAGCCTGGCCGCACTGTCCCTCATCTCTTCAGTTCAAGGCTAGCGCTCTACCACTTGAGCCACAGCGCCACTTCTGGCTTTTTTTTTTCTTTTTGCTTATGTGGTGCTGAGGAATTGAACCCAGGGCCTCAGGCATGTAAGGCAGGCGCTCTACCACTGAGTCACCTTCCCAGCCCCTCATGTGCTATTTTCTTAGCTGTCCTTGAACTCAAGATCCTCCTGCCTCAGCCTCCAGAGTCCTGCAATCATAGGCATGTGCTACCACACCTGATTCCATAACCTTTATTCAGGATTTCTTATCACTTAGTACCTCTGAAACAGTATAGCTAAATTGGCTGGTTGCTTTTAGTTATGCATTTTCTAATTGTTGGGTCTTAAATTGGTCTTACTCAAGTCTAAAAAAATAATAATAATTGTTACCATGATTTTATCTTTACTAGGTTGACATTCCAGAAGGAGGAAACGGGAAAAGAGAATTGGGTTCATTTCAATGTGTTAAGTAAGTTTTGTTTGTTTGTTGGCACAAAATACAAAGGAGGAAAGCATTTATATCATGGAGAATTGCCAAGCTAAAATACTCCCTATGTGTGATTATTCAGATTTGCAGTCCTTTTAACTTATAAGGAAAATTCTCCTACTTTAAAAAGTGATGGTTGGGCCGGGCGCCTGTGGCTCACGCCTGTAATCCTAGCTACTCAGGAGACTGAGATCTGAGGATCACGGTTCAGAGCCAGCCCAGGCAGGAAAGTCCATGAGACTCTTGGCTCCAATAAACGACTAGAAAACCGGAAGTGGCGCTGTGGCTCAAATGGTAGAGTGCTGCCTTGAGCTGAAGAGCTCAGGGACAGCACCCAAGCCCAGAGTTCAAGCTTCCCGACTGACCAAAACAAAAAAGATGGTTGGTTACTGCGGGTACACTCCAGCCTGGGTAGTTGTCCCTACAGGGCTCCCAAGACATCAACACAGCAGAGTCTGGCTGAAAGCTTTCCTCCGCCTGGCCTCAGCTGAGAGAGATGGCGTCACCAGCACATTTAGTTTGGTATTTACAAAGTGCAATTATTTTTGTCATGGAAAACATAACTTGTTTTTCACATGATAATTTCAGCTCCACAAAATCCACTTGATGAGGCTGAGAGTGTAGGTGAGGGTTGAAACGTTGCCTAGCATGCACAAGACCTAGGATGATTTGATCACCCACACAGAGGAAAAAGGAGTGGGGAGGGGGCTGCTGTTGTTTTGTTTTTAGGAAGAACTAGAGCCAGGTGCTGGTGGCTCACACCTGCAATCCTAGCTACTCAGGAGATCTGAGGGTCACAGTTTGAGGCCAGCCTGAGCAGAAAAGTCCCTAGAGACTTTTCTCCAATTAAGCTCTCAAGCAAAACAAAGCAAGCAAACAAACAAATAATAAAATGGAAGTGGAGCTGAGTATCAAAGGGGTAGTGTGCTAGCCTTGAGCAAAAGAGCTCAGGGACAGCTGAGTTCAAGCCTTATGAACAACCAAAAAAAAGAACTAGAAAGAAGAGGAAAGAGTTAAATTGAAGAGGTTCTCCTGATGTCTAAAGCCTATCCTGAATCTGGGGTGTGCAAGTAACCTTTTATGCATTGTTGTTAACTCCTTTGTGATTAACAACCCTGCCACAATGCAACTTTATATCCCAGTTAAATGAGCAGATTGATAGAATGCATACCTGGTAGACTATAAACCTGTCTATGAATAGGTCAGACATAAGGAGATGTACCCAGGAGACTGGAGAAAATAAATGCAAAGGTCAATGCACATAAAATTTTCAATGCCACAAGTTGAATCCTCCTTCAGGTTCTAGTTTTTGTTGTTGTTGTTGTTGTTGTTTATCTCCCCCCACACACACACACAGAGTTGGGAGGGTTACCTGTTCTTAAGCAACAGGAACCATATCAGCAGGTTGGATTTAAAGCACTTGAACAACCATTGATCCACTGACCTGAATGAAATAAGCATGTCACACCTTAAAGCAGAGTTTCATCTTGTGTCTTGTTTTTAGTCACCATGGCATATCACTTAAGGAACGTTCCAAGTCTCACAAATGAAGCCTTTTCAAAAGACATACAAAATCACTTCATAAAGCATCAGAATTCATAAAAGCGCATTGTGTAGTATGAAATGCCAGCTCTCTGTTTTCTTTACGCCTTCTCCTGATTTGTAAGGGCATTTGTTTAGATATTCTGCTCCCTGGTTGACTCAGTGAGCGTGCCCTCTGCCCTGTTGCTTGCTAGGGCACAGTGCTGTGGCTCTTTGCTGCCATGTTTCTCAGGAATAGTACCATAAACTCAACGTGTATTGCCCAGATACAAATATCTCCCAGATACAAATGTCTAGAGTTTGGAGAGATTCTATAATGAAATATAAATATCAAACAGAAACAAACTGTGCACTGTCTATGCACTCTTAACTTGAGCTTCAGCTTCTCTACGTGAGTAGGTTCGCATCTACAAAAGTTTAAGTTCTGTCATTGGACTCAGAGGGCTCATGCCTGTAAGACCTAGGAGAGAGGCCAAGCTTGGGAGGATTTCAGTTTGAGGCCAGGTGGAACAAGTTCTCAAGACTCCATCTTCATATAAAAGAGCTATGCAGGCCAGGCACCAGTGGCTCATGCCTATTATCCTAGCTGCTCTGAAGGCTGAGATCTGAGGATCATGGTTAGAAGACAGCCTGGGAACTAACAGCCATGAGTCTTAACTCCAATAAACTACCAGAAGAGCCAAAAATGAAGCTGTGGCTCAAGTGGTAGAATGTTAGCCTTGAACAAAACAAAGTTCAGAGACAGTGCCCAGGCTCTGAGTTCAAGTCCCAGGACTGGCACAAACAAAAAAGCTATGCAGGATGGCATGTATCTGTCATCACAACTACAGTAAGGAAATATAAATTAGGAGGATCATGGTCCAAGGTAGCACATGGCAAAATGCAAAACCTTGTTTTTAAAATAGAGAAAGCAAAAGGGGCTAGGGATATAACTTAGGTGGTAGAACACCTGCCTAGCAAGCATAAAGTCCTGAGTTGTAACTCTAGTATACCCAAAAGAATAAAAAATTTTTAGATGGTCACTGTTGCTTAGATATGTAATTTATTCATGAAAATGTTTTTAATTGCCCAAGTATGTCTTGTTCCATAGTAAGCACAGAATATTTATTGAAAGACTGAAGATTTTTAAACATTTTTTTTTTGTCGGTCCTGGGGCTTGAACTCTGGGCCTGGGCGCTGTCCCTCAGCTCTTCAGCTCAAGGCGAGCGCTCTACCACTTGAGCTACAGCACCACTTCCGGTTTTCTGGTGGTTTATTGGAGATAGGAGTCTCACGGTCTCTCCTGCCCGGGCTTGCTTTGAACCACGATCCTCAAATCTCAGCCTGAGTAGCTAGGATTACAGGCGTGAGCCACCAGCGCCCGGCTTATTTTTAAACATTTTTAAACCACATTCTTTCCTATAAAGTTAAGTGTTGCCAAGTGCTGATGGTTCATGCCTGTAATCCTAGCTACTCAGGAGACTGAGATCTGAGAATTGTAGTTCAAAGCCAGCCCAGGCAGGAAAGTCTGTGAGACTCTTATCTCCAGTTAACCACCAGAAAACCAGAAGTGCCACTGTGGCTCAAGTGGTAGAGCTGTAGCCTTGAACTCGGGGACAGCGCCCAGACCCAGAGTTCAAGACGTATAACCCATAAAAAAAAAAAACTAAAGTGGTACTGTGGCTTTAAATTCGTAGATCACTTGAGTGAAAAAGCTCAGAGACAGTGCTCAGGGCCTGAGTTCAAGCCCCATGACTGACAAAATAAAAATAAAGTAAAAAAAAACAAAATGAAGTGTTTGTTATCCAAGTCCGGAGTTAAAAATAAAACCAATTAAGTTTCTTTTTTTTTTTTTTTTTTTTTTAAAAAAAAAGGTCATTAGTTTCTACTTTAATCCACTAATGTGTTTGTTGTTCAGAGGCCCAAGATGTGTTGCTCGGTTTGAATATATTGGAGATCAGAAGGATGAGTTAAGTTTCTCAGAGGGAGAAGTTATCATTCTTAAGGAGTATGTGAATAATGAATGGGCTAAAGGAGAGGTTGGAGACAGAACTGGGATCTTCCCCCTGAACTTTGTGGAACTCCTTGAGGATTTTCCTGCCCCTGGTGCAAATATTTCAAGTGAGTATAGACAAGATGACTTTCTATTATTATATGTATTCTGATTCAGATAAACTAACAGTCTGGAAATACTAATCTGTACAACAATCCACACGTATTTTTCCTCCTCTTCCTTTTTTTCCTTCTCTGCCGCCTCTTTTGTGTGTGCGTGCATGTGTGCATGTATGTATGTTGGTACTATGATTTAAGGTCCAGGCCTCAAGTTTTCTCTTGGCTTTTTTGTTCATAGCCAGAGCTCTGCTGCTTGAGCCGCACTTCCACTTTTCCAACTTCTTACTGGTTAATTGGAGATACATTTTATGTCATTGAGATACATTTGTCTTATTTGTCTCCCCCTGTTCTCTTTGAACTATGATCCTCAGATCTCAGCCTCCTGAGTAGCTAGGATTATAGACATGAGCCCCAGAACCCAGTCACAAGTTTTTAATTGTGTGTGTGTGTCTGTCTTGGTCGTGGGTCTTGAACCCTGGGCACTATCCCTCAGCTGTTCAAGACTAGCACTCTAGCACTTAAGCCACGGTGTCACTTCCAGTTTTCTGGTGGTTAATTGGAGACAAGAGTCTCACGGACTTTCCTGCCCAGGCTTTGAACCGTGATCCTCAGATCTCAGCCTCCTGAGTAGCTAGGATTACAGGTGTGAGCCACTGGTGCTCACCTCAGGTTTTTGACTTTTATGTTATTGATATTAGAAAATTGTATATAATTGATGGGTTGCAGGCTTTTTCCCCATATTTTGTTCGCATCAGTTAGTTGTAACCAGCGGGTTTCGTGTTGACATGTCCATAAACGCATAAAACCAAAGGGCCTTGAGCAAGTTCACCTCTCTGGCCCTCCCTCAGCCCCTCTCCCACCCACATTGCCATAAATTTTTTTAAGGTAGAAGGAAATTTTATTTTAAATGTTAATTTGTGTGGGAGAGTCACTGTGGTGAGCCAGGCGTGGTGGCTCATCCCTGTCATCCTAGCTACTCAGGAGGCTGAGATCTGAGGATCACGGTTCAAAGCCAGCCCAGCCTGAAAGGCCCTGAGACTCTTCAATAAACCACTCAGAAAACTAGAAGTGGCGCTGTAGCTCAAGTGGTAGAGCACTAGCCTTGAGCTGAAGAGCTGAGGGACAGCGCCCAGGCCCAGAGTTCAAGCCCCATGCCGGACAAAAAAGGAAAAAAAAGAAAAGGCAAAAGGGCTAGAGGTGTGACTGGAGTGGTGAGTGCGCCTGCCTAGCAAGGTCAGGGCCCTGAGTTCAAAGCCTAGCATCACCAAAAGAAAGCGAAATGGCAGCGAGTCTTAAGACGTGGGCTGTAGAGTTTCTTGGGTATGCTTGTTCAGCTTATAGGTAAGTGAACAACCCATGAAGCAGAACTTCATGTGGCAGATACATGAAAAGGACCATCTAGAACCACAGACTTTTCACGCACCCCAATCGTAACCGTTTCCCTCTAACACTCTGTAGCTTTTACATTTTGACTTTTGTCTTTTATCTTAATGTAGGCACAAAGGTACCACCGAAGACCAAAAAAGAAGCTTCTGGCTCAAAGTCTCAGGTAGGCTGCCTGAGTGGGTAACGGTGGGGACAGCCAGATTTCAACCCTGAGAGAATGTCGAAATTATAATTATCAAGACAACATAGTACTAAGTCATTTTCATCTCATTTCACAGCATGTGTCTGCAATACATAAATTAGGTATTACTGAAAAATTGTGCTTGGAACTCATATAAAACATGTGGATCCTGAAAAGGAAATGAAAAAAAAATACAGAAAAGGGGCCCAGTGGCACATGCCTGTAATGCCAGCCACTCAAGATGCGGAAGGCAAGAGGATTACTTAAGCCAGAAGCCACTGTGCCCCACCTGGGAAACATGTTTCTCTTTTTTTTTAATTTTATCTTATTGTATCTTATTGTAAAGATGCTGTACAGAGGGTTATAGTTACATGAGTAAGGGAATGAGCACATTTCTTGTTGAACATTGTTACCCTTCCTTGTTTTTCTGCTGCTATCCCTTCCCTCTCCCACCTCCTCCAACAACAAGCTCCTTAAAAGAATAAAAGGAAGAATGAAGAAGGAGCCAGTAGGATCCTGTACAGTAGTGTACACCTGTAATCTAAGCACTCAGGGAGCTAAGGAAGGAGGATTAGGAGTTTGAAGCCAGCCCGGGCTTCATAACAAGACCCTGTTTTAGGGCTGGTTTACAAAATGAACATCATGGAAAAGAAAACAGAAAATGAGGATACAAAGTTGAATATACATAGATTGCATTAAAAATTGCAGGGGAGAAAAGGTAAAACTTTTTTAAAATATAAGAAAATGAAGTAAACCAATAAACAAGTAACTACAAAATAATGTATCTAAATTATTAACATTAAAAATCCTACAGGTTCAAGGTTTCATATGTGGGTAGGATTCCCTTCCCCAAGTTCTTTATATAGTTCAAAACTTTCTAAATGTCTAGAATCATTTGACTTATTTATATATGCGAAAGAGAAAAAATAAGGTTAAAATTTTTACTCTGCTGGGCGCCGGTGCCTCACACATAATCTTAGCTACTCAGGAGGCTGAGATCTGAGGATCACAGTTCAAAGCCAGCCTGGGCAGGAAAGTCCGTGAGACTCTTATCTCCAATTAACCATCAGAAAACCAGAAGTGGTGCTGTGTGTGGCTCAAGGGGTAGAGGGCTAGCCTTGAGCTGAAGAGCTGAGGGACGGCGCCCAGGCCCAGAGTTCAAGTCACAACTGACAAAAATAATAATGTTTTATTTTTTTCATTTGTTTTTTACTCAGCTACAGTCAAATAGGAGAAAACCCAATTATCACTATTCATAAGGGGGATATTTGCAGAGCCTCTGGCATGCACAGAGTAATGCATTCTTGGGACCTCCCTGCCCCAGGGCTGGTCACTCAAGTATACAAGCAAGAAGTCAAGATTTGCTTAGTTTTTGTTTTGTTCCATAAACCATCAACTACAGAGAACTTAGGATCTGACAGGCAGTGTGGAAGTCTCTTTCTTGGTGCATTATCTACTGAATCTTTACAGCTATCGTTAGATGAAGCTGAGCCTAAGAGATGAAGAATCCATGTCATGTGGCTCAGAAGTGGCAGAGCTGGGCCTGGAGCCCCGCTTTGCTTAGTCTTCTTGTCCAAACGTGGCAAGTTGCTTCTTTAGAGAGCAGAAACTTCTGCTAATGTAGGGGCTGGGAAGGTGGCTTAGTGGTAGAGTGCTTGCCTAGCATGCATGAAGCCCTGGGTTTGACTCTTCAGTACCACATACACAGAAAAAGCCAGAAGTGGCACCCTGGCTCAAGTGGTAGAGCAGTAGCCTTGAGCACAGAGAAGCCCAAGGACAGAGCCCAGACCCTGAGTTCAAGCCCCAGGACCGGCAAGAAAAAAAAGTGTGTGTGTGTGTGTGTGTGTGTGTGTGTGTGTGAGTGTGTGTGAGTGTGTGTGTGTAGTACATTCCTGTTAAGTTGGGTTCCAGTGGCTTACACCTATAATCGTAATTACTCAGGAGACTGAGAACTGAGGATCACAGTTCAAAGTCAGCCCAGGCAGGAAAGTCCTTGTGGCTCCTATCTCCAGTTAACCAGCAAGAAACTGAAAGTAGAGCTGTGGCTTAAGTGCTAGAGTTCCAGCCTTGAGTGAAAAAGCTAAGGGATAGTGCCTGAGTTTAAGCACCAGTGCATGTACACGAGTGTGCACACACACATACACAGACAAAAGTTCTATAGGAGGAGTGTACTCTCATAAAGTTAAATATATATTGTTTTTGTTTCTTTGATTTAGTATGAGTGAGTGCCCTCTACAGTGGAATCTGATAGTCTCTAAGCCAAGTAAAGACCCAGAAACTTAACAGGCTATCCATTCTCATCCTGATTTAGGTAAAGAAAACTTCACTGAAAATTAGCTACTTTATCAGAATTCTTTCATCATTTATACTATACATAAATATTTTATGCCTTGACCTAATTTTTAATGTAATTAACCTCATAGATCACAATAAAGAAATGTGTTTTGCTTAAGTGTTATGTATTTTATAAAACCAGCAAAGCCACAAATTCTATCACATTTGTCATTTAAGATTACATTTTAAGAAAAGAAGTTAGCTGGGCGCTGGTGGCTCATGCCTGTAATCCTAGCTACTCAGGAGGCTGAGATCTGAGGATCACGGTTCAAAGCCAGCCTGGGCAGGGGAGACTGTGAGACTCCTATCTCCAATAAACCACCAGAAAACCGGAAGTGGTGCTGTAACTCAAGTGGTAGAGCGCTCGCCTTGAGCTGAAGAGCTGAGGGACAGCGCCCAGGCCCAGAGTTCAAGCCCCACGACCGACAAAAAAAAAAAAAAGAAAGAAAGAAAAGTTATTGGAAACTCTTTCTGAAACTTGAAAGCAGTATAAAGTATTAGCTAATTTAAAGAAGACTTCAAGCTTTGGAATCCTATAACCCTTTAGCTTTTATTCTTCATTGTTTTTTTTTAAGCTTTGTAGAACTCAGTTTGACATTTTAAAAACCTCCCAATTCTGATGGGCACTGGTAGCTTAATACCTGTAATCCTAGATACTCTGGAGACTCAGATCTGAGGATCGTGATTTGAAGCCAGCCCAGGCAGGAAAATCTGTGAGACTCTTATCTCTAACCACTAAAACACAGAAGTAGAGTTGTGGCTCAAGTGGTACAGCATTAATTTGAGCAAAAAAGCTCAAATGGGGCTGGGAAGGTGGCCCAGTGGTAGAGTGCTTGCCTTGCATGCATGAGGCCCTGGGTTCGATTCCTCAGCACCACAGCAGAAAAAGCTGGAAGTGGCACTATGGCTCTAGTTGTAGAGCGCTAGCCTTGAGTTGGAGAGCTGAAGGTGACAGCGTTCAGGCCCCACGACTGACAGAAAAAAAAATGCTAAGGGAGGATGCCCAGGCTCTGAGTTCAAGTCCTCCACCAAGGGGAAAAAAAACAAACACTTCCCATTTCTTACAGGATAACAATCTCTCTGAAGAATGGTGCAAAGCTCTCCACAGTTTTACCGCTGAGACCAGTGATGACTTAGCCTTCCAACGTGGGGACCGGATTCTGATCCTGGAGCGTCTGGATGCTGACTGGTACCGGGGCCGGCTGCACGACAGGGAGGGAATCTTCCCAGCAGTCTTTGTGCAGCGTTGTGCAGGTATGACACCTCTGAGCTGCCACCTGCTCTGAGCCCTTGTAATCCGTCTGGGCACGCCTCACTGAAGCTATTTGTCTACAGTGCAAAGAGTTAATTCATAAATTCACACACTAATTTGTGATAGTTACGGGGAAAAAGATTGAAAATGCTTTCACTAAATAATGGCTAATTTTCTCTATTAAATATACTTTGTGTGTAGATATATTTTTTTAAGTTTAATTTTGTGTGCGTGTATGTGTGCTGGTTAAAGTTTAATTTTGTGTGTGTGTTTGTGTGCTGGTTAGTTTAATTTTTTGTGTGTGTTTGTGTGCTGGTCTTGAGGCTTGAACTCAGGGCCTGGATGCAGTCCCTGAGCTTTTGTGCTCAAGGCTAGTACTCTACCATTTTGGTTGGTTAATTGGACGTAAGAGTTTCATGGACTTTCCTGCCCAGGCTGGCTTCAAGCTGCAATCCTTAGATCTCAGTCTCCTGAGTAGCTAGGATTAGAGGTATGAGCCACTAGCACCTGGTTTGTGTGTGTGTGTGTGTGTGTGTGTGTGTGTGTGTGTGTGTGTGTGTGTGTGTGTGTGTGTGTGTGTGTGTGTGTGTGTGTATGTAAAATATATGTATATATATATATGCATATGTGTGTGTGTGTGTGTATATATATATTAGTGCTGAGAACATCTTTTATCTTTCACTGTTTTGAGAGTGACCAGGGTAGATCTTAGAACGTTTTGTGTTTTAGGCCATGATCTTTCTGTATATTTGGGTTTTGGTGTCTTTACAGCTGAGGCAAAAACCGTGTGTACCCCAGGACTGAAGGGGAGGAAGGCCAAAGCCTTGTATGACTTCCATGGAGAGAATGAAGATGAGCTCTCCTTCAAGGTCAGTGTCTTTCTGTTCCTGCCCTAAGCACTAAAAACATACACATTGAGATTGACAAGACTTTGTCTTACATTGAAGTGCAGAATGTTTGAGAGTTCAAGTTGAATGAAGAGATGCAAAGCCTAGGTCTAAGAGAGTGGAGTGGTCAGGAATGCAAGCACCAGCATCGAATTAGATTTTAATCCCGGTTTTACTACTGATTACACATATAACTGGGGCAAAGTTTCCTAATCTACCTGAACTTGTTTCCTTTTTGTGCCCCTGTTTTGGTGTTACTGAGGAGTTAAACTTAGGGCCTTGTGCTTGGTGGGCAGGTCCTCTACCACTTGAGCAATGCTCCCAAGCCTTGTTTATTTATTTTTCAGGTAGAGTCTCATATGTTTCACTAGGGTGAGTTTCAAACCACCAATGCCACCTAGCACTGGGATTACAGGCATGAGCCACCAAATCCAACCTGCTTCCTGTTCTTTAAAATGAACAAACTTACAGAAAGATACCCTCTAAATACTGTCATTAATAACAGTATCTATCTGTAAAGACTGTGAAATTCTTTAATTCCTACATTGCTTTGATTCCTATAAAGTGCATAGAACAAGACAAAGGCTTACCCTCTCACCGCCATGTTTGCTTATATGGTACCCTCAGTGAGTTTGTGCAAATTATCATCATGAGTGGACAGCTCAGGTTTTTTTGTCCCCTCCACTGGCTTATTTGTCTTCTTGTTCAAGAATCAGACCTTTATTTACAATGACACAATACATGGTAAGTAAATGCACATTAAAGGGAAGTGTGCATGCGCATGTACATGTGTGAACATGTATACGTGCGCACATGTAAGTACTAGTGTGAGGTCTTGAACCCAAGGCCTCAAATCCTTGTTCAGCTTTTTCAGTCATGACTTACCACTTGAGTCATGCCACTCGGGTCTAGCATTTTTGCTAATTGGAGATGGACTCTTGATGTCTTTCTGTCCCAGCTGGCTTCAAACTGTGATTTTCAGTTCTCAGTCTCCCAAGTAGGGTAGCTAGGATTATAGGTCTGAGCCATTGCCACTGGGCTTTTAGTCTCACATATTGTTATTTATTTAACAGAATCTTTATAGGAGTGGTGGTGAACTAGGGAGGTATAACATATAACCAGGACAAGTTACATTCCACAAAGCAACAGAGTGCAAGGACAGAGGTATGAAGCAGCAGGAAGTGTCTCATCTCCTCCTCTGCAAATTCAGATGCATGAGTGTTATAAAGAGAAGATAGTTTATCCGCTCTGGGCAGGCTGCACACCACACTTGCACTCAACAGAAATCAACCAATGTCTTTCTTCTCACAGGCTGGAGATATCATTACAGGGTTAGAGTCTGTGAATGAGGAGTGGATGAGTGGAGAACTGCTGGGGAAATCTGGGATATTTCCCAAAAACTACATTCAGTTCCTACAAGTCGGCTAAAGATGAAGCTTGACTGTTCCTGGACGTGAGAACCCACTTGAACTATCACGCTGACTATCAGATTTGTTTTTGCACTATCTTTTTTTTTTTTTTTAAACAGAAAAGAGAAATATCTTAAGGTGTCCATGGTACAGGAGAATTTTCTGGAAGCAGAAAAGTTCTCAACTTTGTAGTTAGCTTTCGTTCCCAATGGAAATGTGTACGTGGAAACCAAGCAGGAGGAATGTAGAAAGAAAACCTCTAATGGGGTTAGCAGGGCAGACGCAGCCTCCCCTGGGCAAGCGCAGGGCAACCGACACAAAGGGAGGCCGAGCAGAAGTTGTACACGGACATCTGTTTTCATCAGCACATGTGAATTAACCATGCTTCTTCATTTTTCACTTTAGTTTAAAAAGAGGACGTTTGACATTCTACACGCAGTAACTGTCGGGACATGGTTAGTAATCTAAATTTCATTTCTGTTGTTCAAATTAATCCTAATCGCTTGAGCACATTAGCCTTTAGTAGAGGGCAAACTCTTACTTCAGAAGGGATAGTTCAGTACTGAACAGGAGCACTGGTAAATACATGATGACGTCAGCAGACTCGCCAGATGCTCCCTATTTGTCCAAGGATTTGAAGGGTGTCAAAATGTGTTGTCATCTTAGTCAAAAGAACCAAAATCATCCCTGAAATGCCTTGCTAACACAACTAACCCTCACCTGTGTGCCAGACTACTTCTGTCTTCCATATATTCTTTATGTTAACAGGGTTATTATAAAGCACATTTTCTGAATCTGCAATCATTCCTTTGACAATTACTGGTACCCAAAGGAAAACTCATTTTCTTTGCATTCTCCCAGTAATCTATAAAAAGCTGTGTCTTGTTGTAGTGGAACAAATATGAATCACATAAAGTATCTTAGAATACAGAGCTACTGTTAAGATGAAGAACAGTGACAACTCCCACAGCTCGTTTATTCAAAATGTAATCAGAAAGAAAAATAACTAAGACAACTAAAGGCTGGTACTTTTTCTCCCCAGCCTGTCTCTGCACAATTATTAGAGAAAAGAAAAGGCCACTTTCCTGTCATCCGTTGTCATACATCCCAAGTTTAAGACAAAAGTGGTTCATTGCATAACTGGATTACAAGTTAGGGGCTAAAGCCAATAGGTTGAAGACAATCTTGCTAACAGAGCAATGGGATAGGATTACATTGGAAATGTAAAAAGCTTTCTTTGTGACTTTCTTCTGTTTTTGAGAAGAGTTTCGTATGCTGGACCACTTTTTCTTTTCTTTTTTTTTACAGGTCCTGGGGTTTGAACTCAGGGCCTGAGCACTGTCCCTGAGCTTTTATGCTCAGGCTAGTATTCTACCACTTGAACCACTGCTCCATTTCCAGCTTTTTATGGTGTTTCAATTGAAGATAAGAGTCTCACAGATTTTCCTGCCCAGCTGGCTTGGAACTGTAATCCTCAGATCGCAGCCTCCTAAATAGCTAGGATTTCAGGCGTGAGCCACCTGCACCAAACTGCTAGACCACTTTTTAGTTTCTGTTCCTTTCCCCATTTTCCAAAAGGCATGGCAGCCAGTGATCACACCATTATCAGAACACATCATGATGTTCCAAAAGGAAGCAATGTTGACTTAGTCTCTGACTAAAGTTCATCTCCCCGATAACATGTGACATTTGATTTTGGAGTATGAGGGCTGCATTTCTGTGTTTTGAGTGAAAAGAAAGTATTAAAAATTTCACATTCCATTAAACTTTTCAAATTTCATTAAAAAATAATCTCATAAAAAGGAATGATTAAAAGCATTATTCAAACTAAATTCTCATTTGCAGCAAGGTGTATCATAGCAGGAAGTGGTTAAGGATATAGAAGCAACATGAAGTATATATATATATAAATTATATCTTTGCCTGTGTAATTTTAATTGGAGATTCTGAAAACCTGTCTTTAATGGAGAATTATTGGAGAAAAAAGATCCTCCCCTTAAATGTTGGCCTTCAGCAAGCAGAATAATAAGTGCAATACTTGTAAATCTACTTGACACTATAATAAACTGAACTGAGCTTTTCAAGTCTCTTTCTCAGACTAAACTAAATTTTTGAGAATGTGTGTGGTATATTTTGTCTCCAGTTCTTTGCACCATATAAGATGTAAGTGTGGATGGATGAATGGATGTGATGTCTTTTACATACAGCAATATAATCGAGTCACTCAATATCTTTCCTTGTTGACCAAAAGAAAAAAATCTATTGTAACAAAATTCACAGTTTTATGTCATTTCAGTCTATCGTACTTTGTTTTTTGCTTTCTATTTATTTCCCCTTCAACTGATAGAAAGCAAAAATGTTAGCTGGGTGCCAGTGGGTCATGCCTATAATCCTAGCTACTCAGGAGGCTGAGATCTGAGGATCACGGTTCAAAGCCAGCCTGGGCAGGAAAGCCTGTGAGACTCTTATTTCCAATTAACCATCAGAAAACTGAAAGTGGTGCTGTGGCTCAAGTGGTAGAGACCTCGCCTTAGCTGAAGAGCTGAGGGACAGTGCCCAGGCCCAGAGTTCAAGACCCACAACCAACCAAAAAAAGAAAGAAACCCAAAATGTCCCCAATAGGTTTCTGTGGGTACTGTCTTAGAGGAAGAAATAGGAATGGTTGTTTCTTCCATGAATTTAAGATGAAAACATAATAGTGTTAATCTTTATCAGTCAGCTTTTTAATTTCTTTAAACATAAATACTTGACATTTTAAGCTGTTAGATTTATTTTGGCTCATGGTTCTAAGTTATCCAGCCCCAGGTCAGCTGGCTGTACCACTTTTGACTGAGACAAAGCAGAACATCATGACAGGGCGATAGCGTAGAGCTGCACACCTCATGGCAGCCAGGAAGAAGAGGGAGGAAGGGGGAGGGGCAAGGGAAGTAAAAAGGAAGGAGTGAGGGCGGGAGGAAGGAAGGAAGGGGGGGCGGGCTAAGAACACTGCCGCCTTCTAGGCAAGCCCCAAGCCCTCTTAGCCCATTCAGCTAAAAACTACCAGTGAATTGATGAGTTAATCTACGTGATCAAATTACCTGTCAATAGCACCACCTGCTGGGGACCAAGCCTCCAACACAAGAGCCTTCTGGGGACATTTCATATCTAAGCCACATTATTTAAATCTCAAATCATAAATCACAAAATCATTTTTGTTAGGTTGAAACTGGAGAAGCCATTTATTTTCCTCTGAACACCAAAAGACAGCGTGTCTCTTAAATATGTCCTTTATTGAAATAGCTGGAGGAGCAATATATCTGTCATTGTACTTACAGAAATCACAGGTTTGGAGATAATCTGAAAAAAATCACTATATTAAAATGTATTCTTACAACTGGCATTAAAAATATTTTTCTAGGGGCTGGGAAGGTAGCTCAGTGGTAGAGTGCTTGCCTTGCATGCATGAGGCCCTGGGTTCGATTCCTCAGTACCACATAAGCAGAAAAAGCCAGAAGTGGACACTGTGGCTCAAGTGGTAGAGCGCTAGCCTTGAGCTGGAGTTGAGGGACAGCGCCCAGGCCGAGTTCAGGCCCCACAACCAACCAAAAAAAATTTTTTTTCTAATGGATTTATAATCAGTACTCTTAACAGTCTTTTAGTTTTTATTTAGTCTCTTAAGCATATTTGATATGTATACCTGAGAAAATAGTGATAGATATATAACATCACTATGATATCATTAATGATTTATTCCTTTTAATTAATGCTAAAAGCACATAGGCCATGTCATGTGATTCATGATTCAGTGCTGTTCTGAATGCCTTTGAATGAATTTGTGAGTAGTGAATCTTTTTTAGAACTAATGGGAAGTCAGTTTCTAACCTATGCCTTTTTACTTAATTATGGAAGGAAAAAAGGTCAGTCTCACTCAGAACACCACCACCATCTAGGGGCCTCTTCCTTAATTGCAGGCTCTTTCTGTGATACCATTGGAGACCAGAGCTCACTCAGCCTGCAGAGGTTAAATGATTTTTGTCTAATATGTACTAGCAGAATCCAAAGTAAAACTTGGGTCTACTGAGGTCCGATTCAACGTTATGTCCACTTGTTATGCTAAAATGGTACATTTCTCAACAGTTACACCTGTGGTTCTGGTAAGTCTTACTGGCTTGTAAAAGTTGCATCTTTTACAGTTCTCAACTTTTACAGTTCTCAAGTTAAAAAGTTGCTCAGAACACCTGGAATCCCAGTACTCAGGAGATAGAGACAGAATTATGAGTTCAAGGCCAGCCTGAGCTACGGATAAATTATGTTGATGTTACCTAGAGCTCTAATGTGAGCTGAATGGCTAATGCAGTTCCCTTTTTTTCCATTGCTGTTAAATGGGGAATAACCAAATACTTGGAACATCACATCTTATAAAATTTGTCAGAAAGGCTGAGCTTTTTGGTAACCAGCAAGCTATCTGAAACCAATGAGTCTGGGACAAATTCTGGATGTTTTTGAAGAAACTATAATATTGTATTTAAATGTTAAAAATTGGGCAACAATTCAGTATTTTTAGGAGACATTGATTCCGCTCAGAAAGTAATGTCACCTACTGGTTTATTTACCTTGAACAAGAATTGACAAGGGGTTGGGAAGGGTGGCTGCGCGGTAGTCCTTGACTCACATGCATGAGGCCCTAGGTTCGTATTCCTCAGCACCAATGAACAGAAAAGGCTGGAACTGGGGCTGCGGCTCAAGTGGTAGAGCGCTAGTCTTAGGACAGCACCCAGGCCAAGTTCAGGCCCCATGACCAATGACAACAAAAAAAATTGATGAATCATCTTTTTGGTTTTCCTAACCAGGGCTCTAGGTACCAAAGTCCTGCCTCAGACTTGTGATCCTCCTGCCTCCACTTTGTGCATGCTAGTACAGGTATGTACCATCACACCTGTGACCAGCAGGCAACATACAAAATACTGACCTGTATTTTTTTTCTTTACACTTAAAGGGAACAGGCCAGGCATGACAAAATGTGCCTATTAGTTCCAGGTACTCATCATGGTGGGAATGCATGGGAGAAACTTCACCTCATGGCACCTGGGAGGCAAAGAGAAGAGGCCCAGGTGCCAGTATCTCCCTCGAGGGAATGCCCAGAGACCTAACTCCCTCTAACTATGCACCACTGCTTAAAGATTCTACCATTTCAGCTGGACATGGTGGGATCCTACCAGTCATGCTAGCTACTCTCTGGAAGCTTGAATTGGAAGAATCAAGGTTCAAGTTCAGCCTGAACCAAAACGGTTTACAAGACCTCAGTTGAAAGGCTAGAACGGTTGTGCATGCCTGTGATCCCAGCTGTGCAGGAAGCATATTAGGAGGCCCATGGTATAAGACAGCTCAGGAGAAACGTGAAACTATAATCTGAGGGCTGAGGTAGGTCTAAAGTCCATCTCTCAGTAACCATTAGGCAGGGGCCCAAGCCTTAGTACATGGGGCTTCAGGTTGTATTTCAGATCCAAAGTATACCAACATTCAACAGATAATCACTCATTAAACTGGTGTGATTAGATACTTAACAATAAAGTTGTTTGTAGGTGTGCTAAGGATTCTGATTTTACTTTTTTTTTGTCGGTCATGGGTCTTGAACACTGGGCTTGGGCACTATCCCTCAGCTCTTCAGCTCAAGGCAAGCGCTCTACCACTTGAGCTACAGCGATGCTTCTGGTTTTCTAGTGGCTTATTGGAGTCTCAGTTTCCTGCCAGGGCTGGCTTTGAACCGTGATCTTCAGATCTCAGCCTCTTGAGTAGCTAGGATTACAGGCGTGAGCCACCGGCACCCAGTTCTGATTGTTTCTTTGTAAAAGTTTTTAAAAAGTTTTGAAGATCGCAGTAGTCCTCATGCTCGTACTGTTGGGAGGTGATAGAACTTTAGGAGTAAGTCATGGGGGAAAGAGGGCCTTCACAGGGGACATTAGGATTCTGGCCTCTGCCCCTTTTTTGCTTCTTGGTTCCCCAGGTGCACCCTCTTCACACACAATCCTGCTGTGATATACTGTGCCACCACCCCAATCCCACAGGTAACCAGCTAAGTGAAGTCACAGGCCAACACAAACCTTTCCTCCACGGAAGGTAGTTACCCCCCAGTACTTTGTCAGTGACAGAAAGCTGACCAACGTGACACATGCTGAGAATTAGGGCAGATGTAATGCTTGATGTTGTACCCAACTTGCAAGTTAAAACCTCAGCCTGCCAGTTTTGTGGATGCTACCAGTAGACGTAAAACTTTTGCATCAGAAAAAGAACTTCTATTGCTCAATAGCTGGGTTTCATGATCGTGCATGTCAGCTTCTCATGCCAATATCCAAGATGACAAAGGGCTGACAGGTAGTAGGTTATCTCACAGAACACTTAAGATTTACTGTCTTGGGGCTGGGAAGGTAGCTCAGTGGTAGAGCACTTGCCTTGCATGCCAGAGGCCCTGGGTTGGATTCCTCAGCACCACATAAGCAAAAAGAAAAAAGCCAGAAGTGGCGCTGTGGCTCAAGTGGTAGAGCGCTAGCCTTGAGCTGAAGAGCTGAGGGACAGCACCCAGGCCCAGAGTTCAGGCCCCATGACCGGACCCAAAAAAAAAAAAAAAAAAAGATTTACTGTCTCCATAGCAAGTGGAAAAAACTTGTTTTTCCAGGAGGAAACATTACAGCAGCCTCAAGGTTGTTCACAAGGATATAAACCAGGTTCAGAGAGCAGAGATGCACTGTTGGAATAATGGTCAAGGCCCGGGAGGGTCACCAGGCTGTGGCAGACTGCAATTGGCCAAGACTGAACATTAATTAATGAGACTGAAACCCCATCCACCCAATTCCTGCAGCACTAATCACGATGCTCTCCAGGGCCCCAGACTTCAGGCAGGCCCTAGGAGCCCCCTAGGTCTTTCAGGAAGCCAAGGGTATTCACTGTAGACCTATCCCTGTCACACGAAGTCTAACCTTAGTTAGGATTTGATGTCATTGCCCTTAGATAGGCAGAAAGGAAACTCCTATCAATAGATAGCTCAGTCTGTTTTTTCCTCAAGCAAAAGCATTACCTTAAGGGAAACCACTTTTGTTCAAGGTTCACTGTTAAATGGGTTTGTAGCATCACCATGTTGGGGGACAGATGGGGGTGAAGTTTCCATTGTTGTCACACCAGAGGCCACTCATATGACAAAAGCACTGCACTAGCCAGACTAGATCCAATCCAATCACACTGGTGCTAGTGACTATATTCACATTTGAGAGCTACTACTATTGGGATTTGAGTGATGAAAATATACTTGGTAGCAAATGCCTATATTGAGACCAATAACCACTTTTCTCTAAATTCAGCTTCAGAACAAGTGTCTGACAATAAATTTAAATTATCTACTGACTGCATTACATAGTTGACAGCTACTCAGGAGACTGGATCTATGGATCAAGGTTCAAAAAGCCAGCCTAGTTAGCAAGTGGTATGGCTTGAACGTTAAGAACTCTGGCCTTGAGCAAAAAGTCAAGCAAGAGCCCAAGACCCTAGTACTAGAACCAAAACAACCAAAAAAAATCCTCTCTAGGCATGTGGCAGAGCCTCACACCTGCAATTCCCTGCCTGCTCAGGAAGCTGAGATCTGAGGACAGTGATTGAAAGCTAGCTTGGACAGGCAAGTCCATGAGACAAAAAGCCTAAGTGGAACTCTGGCTAACAGGGCACTAGCCTTGAGCAAAAGAGCTCAGAGAGAACATCCAGAGGCACACACAAACTCCAGATCACTACACCTTAAATAGCATAATACCATTTTAACTACTTAATCGAGAAAATCCACACAAGATCAAAACTTTACCAGGTCTTATCAAGTCAGACTGGTTCACCAACTTGCCAGGCTTAAAAAGTGTTGAGATGCAAACCATCACAAATAAGCCTTTTATTTGTCACTATTAAAACTCTGGATTTTAAACAGATTCTTGGACTGGTGGTTCGTATCCATCAGCTCGCTCGACTTTAGCACCAGTCTCGTCACCAGTAGCTTTTCCAGAACTACCACCTTCACCATGAAGCTCCATGAGTTTTCCCACTAAAAGAAAAATAAACCTTGTTATGGGCCATCACATCTTAAAACAATGGTCTTCAAGACTACATTTGCAAGACAGAAGTGGGAAGTTATTCGGTCATTAGGTCCCACAATTTTTAAGAATCCTATGGCGTCTCACTTACATTCAAACTTGGGCTTCTTCAGCATTTTTACTTTTCTAACGAAGACATCATGAAGTGGATAAATAGACTGACAAGCCTTTTCTATGTCTTTCCCAATGCTGTCTGGAATCCTGCAAACCATCAGCAATAGTAGGTTAAAAGGGGGAGAAAAAAGGCCTGGCTTGTCTCATATGGAAAGAAAACCTAAAGAACACTTCATTTAATCAACAGATACCCAAATATAAGACTACTGCCCCTTTATAGGTATGGGCATGAATTATACAGCTGACTAGTAGCAAAACGGGTGTGTCAGCCTTTAGGGTCAAGTCACACTTTTTCTATTAACCTTTTTCATCCGTTTGTACACTGCATGGGAACATCAGAAAAATGCTAAGTTATCACTGAGCATCATCTGGGACCGAAACATTTTTTCATCATGTATCCCCAACACAGTATTAATTGAAGAAGGTTTTTCTTTATCTATTCAATGTACTTTCTAATTTTGTTGCCTAAATACCTGTCATTCAAACCTTACTACTGTGAGATAATTTCAACCAAAAAGTAAATTCTGCCACCATTCACTAAGCATGTAAACCTGTAAAAAGCGCACCTGTGGCTCACACCTATAATCCTAACTACTCAGGAGGCTGAGATCTGAGGATCAAAGTTCTAAGCCAGCCTGGGCAGGTAAGGTGTGAGAACACTATCTCCACTTAACCACCAGAAAACCAGAAATGATGCTGTGGCTCCAAGTGGTAGAACACTAGTCTTGAGCAAAAAAGCTGAGACAGCACCCAGGCCAAGTTAAAGCCCCTCAACCAACAAAAAAATAAGAGACTTATAATACTGAATTTTAAAAAAGGAGGTAAAATGCCACCTGCCTAATATTTGGGGTTGTAAGAGAAAAACACTTACAATTTATTAACTACTTCTTTCAAGTCATTTGTCTGTACTTCTCGGGTCATGATTTCCATCATCTTCTTCCGGATTTGGCGGACCTGCTGATGCTGAGCATAGGAGGTCTTGCGGATCTGATTGTTGCGTTTTTTAGTGAAACCAACACAGAACAGACGAAGCAAATAACCATCTGTAGTCTTGACATCAACATGAGCTTCAATCATGGTCTAGAGGAAAGAAAAGATACTCAGATACAAAAGGTTTGAAGAATTACCAGTTCTCATCTCTCAAATCCTAATATAAAGAAGCTAGAGTGTCTGGGTGCTGGTTAATCATGCTGAGACCTGAGGATTGCGATTCAAAACCAGCCCAGGCAGAAAAGTCCAGAAGACTCATCTACAATAAACAAACAGGCTGGAAGTGGTACAACACTAGCTCTGACAGAAAAAGCAAAGTGAAAGCTTGAAGCCCTGAGTTCAAGCCCCAGAACTGGTATGCACTTGTGCACAGCGCACACACATGCACACACAAGCTGTAGTGTCCAATACATATTGGTCAAGTCTGATATAGCTTGTTTATAGAATTTTGAGTTTTGCAAGACCCCTTCAAGTCTTCCATACCCAACTAAAGAAATATAAAGACTTCAACTCTTTTAATCCTACTATTGTCCAACTGTACTAACACTTAGTTTGGATATGTTAATCCTCAGTAGTCTACCCCCATGTTAACTATTGAAGAGCTAAGTTCTTAAGATGACTATATGGACATCAACAGTAAAAGTTTCTTTTAAAAAGTATTCTGGGGGCTGGGAAGGTGGCTGAGTGGTAGAGTGCCTGCCTTACATGCTTGAGGCCCTGGGTTTGATTCCTCAGCACCACCGAAGCAGGAAAAAAAAGCCAGAAGTGGCGTTGTGGCTCAAGTGGTAGAGTGCTAGCCTTGAGCTGAAGAGCTGAGGGACAGTGCCCAGGCCCAGAGTTCAGGCCCACGACTGAACCCAAAAAAAAAAAAGTATTCTGGGGGCTGGGAAGGTGGCTGAGTGGTAGAGCGCTTGCCTTGCATGCTCGAGGCCCTGGGTTCGATTCCTCAGCACCACATAAGCAGAAAAAAAAAAGCCGGAAGTGGCGCTGTGGCTCAACTGGTAGAGTGCTAGCCTTGAGCTGAAGAGCTGAGGGACAGCGCCCAGGCCCAGAGTTCAGGCCCCACGACCGGACCAAAAAAATAAAAACAGTAAAAAATAAAAAAATAAAAAGTATTATGACCAAGTTAGGAAATTATTGCTATGCTAAACATCCAGATTGTTTTAAATATGTTATGTTCTAAACAAAATATACTAATGATTAAATACTTTCAACTAGTACATAATTAGAATCCATAACTAGTGGTCCTATCATTGCCTAAATTTTAAGAAAGGCAACCTTAAGTATGGACAATAACTGACTTGCTTTGAATTTCACAAATTATATACCTTAGTTCCAAAAACAAAATACAAAGCCCAGAACCACAAATACAGATCAATAAAATAGCCAGGGTTGACAATGTAGCTTAGTGGCAGAGCGCTTATGCATACATGAAACCCTGGGTTTAATTCCTCAGTACCACATAAACAAGCAGCTTGGACAGTGCGCAGACCGAGTTCAAGCCTTAGGATTTGGGGGGGGGGGGGGGGGTGAGAGATAGGGAGAGAGACACACACACAAAAACCTAGCCAAACATTCCTAAATAGGCAATCATAAATCTTAAGGGAATGTCAGAAACAAATGTATTGGTATAATCAGTATGTATCATATGGGACCGAAACATTTTGTCATCATTCATTCCCGTACATAATACCCGAAAACTACAGGGTTAGCCAGATAGAAGGAAACCAATTTTCATCATCTCCTAAAATGACAGGAGTGCTTTTATTTTATCCTCACAATTCTGCAGACACTCTCCCACCCATTTTACAGATAAAAGCAGGTAGGGTGACTTTTTGCCAAGGTACATAAGCCACAGACTTACACGCTAGTCTGTCACTGTACGCTCTACTAAAAGGCTAGCCTAGATACTCTGTTCATAACAAATTGTGCTCCAGAGTGTACAACCTAAAGCCAGCAAACTGGAATTTAACAGGAGACCTGAGTTTCATGACAATGGGCTTTTCAAGGAAAGAAAGTCCATCACCAGCCACAAATCACATCTGGTGACATGATACAACACCACACTATGCCACTGTGGGTGAAAGCAGTTCACCATATACTGATGCAGTTTTGGGTCTCACCTGCCACTTTTTGACCATAGAGCACATTTTGTCTCGGGTGAGATCCATGCCATGGAAGTTGGTCAGGCAGTTTTTGCCCTGTACGTCCTCAGTAATTAGCTTGAATTTTCTAAATGCGACTTCATCATTCTGCAGATCAGCAAGGCTCACTTCAAACACCCGACCCTTGAGGCCATCAGATGCGATTTCTACAAAACAAATGTCCACACATTATCATTTCAGAGTAAAACAAAGTTAATGGCAGAACTGGATCCAGTTAATGGAAAATTGTAAAGACTTAACCTTGATTACCATAACCATTCAGACACTGAAGACTTATTGGCAGTATGTACCCGCTATGATTTCCTTAGCAAACTGTCATGGCAGCTCTTAATTCTCCAAGCTCAGTGTAGAAAAGACAAGCACCACAGATGCCAAACACAAATCAGCTGATGCCCACCACCACAGGATGCATTCTATAATATAACCCACATGCCCCAAAGTAAGAGAAACATTAGGTGTAAAGATACTCACTGGTTCCTTGAGTCCTCGTGACTAGTGTTTTCCCAATATTCCTTATGTTGAACATGGCTGGTGCTTTCACATCATACCAATCCTTCTTCGAAAATGGATCAACCCTGGAGCGAGAGAAAAAGTGTCTTGTGTCACTGAAAACCGCGCATTGCTGTGCTAAGTAGTGCCCCTCTCCAGCAAGACTCGAAGAAGCTGGCTTGGCCTCTGCGTCCCGGAGAGGTGAGGGGCTCCGAGGTGAGCCAGCTCTGGCCACGGTCTCCGAACACTGAGATCGAAGGCGGCGTCCCACCCCGGCGGTCCTCCGCTTACGATCAGACCTGGCGGCGGCTCACGCGGGGCGGCTGCGAGGCCCCGGGTTCCCGACACGGGGGTGCCGATCCCGGACGGCGACTTCCCGGGGTGCGGGGGGGGCGGGGGGGGGGGGGAGTCCCGCAGCCCGACACACGCGCCGCGCCGTCCCGGTAAGTTTGGGTAGCCGAGCCGCCCACAGGCCGCGGTCCGGGCGCCCCGCTCAGCTCCGCTCCGCTCAATCCGACTCGCATCCCCGCCATCCGGCTCGCCACGAGACCTGGAACCCGCCCGCTGTCTCCACCAGGACCCCAAGGAGCGGGGGTCCACGAAAGCCCCCACTTACACTTTCTTCTTGGCTCCCTTTTTGCCGCCTTTTGTAAGGCGCTTGTTCTTGCCTACCGCCATGGTGCCGGTCTGAGAGCCAAAAGGGCGGAAGTGCAACTCGCGCGAGAACTTAGGCGTGAGGGGCGGGGCGCGCCGCGTACGTGGTGATCCCGACTCCTTCGCCTTTCCGCTTTCAAAGCTCTCGCGACAATAGACGAAGACGTCTTCCGACTAGTGTAGCTGAGACAGCGCCCCCGTGCGTGCGGAGGCCGCGCTGCGTGGACGCGGGCGCTGGAGCGGCGCGCACCTGTGCTTTCCGCATCTCTGAAGGCCACGCCCTCTGCATCTCATTTAAAGCTGAGCTGGACAGGTGATTCCGAGCTGCTTCTTGAGCTTGGAAGTCAGGCAGCAGATCCAAGTCCAGATCTGCTCTCCACAGCCCTAGCCCTCCTAAGTTACAGGGCGGCCCTGATACCATCCGCCTCCTAAGCTTGTCTGTGGGCTTGAACAGCCGCGGGGAGGTTGGGCTTGGTGAGGCCTTGCTGGTTGGTCTCGCCCTGCATTCCTTCCCCCTCCAGTGGGGGGCGGGGGGGGGGGCGGGAATCAAAGGGCGACGGGTAAGGAATCTGCAAAGTTCGATTTTTATAACTAATCTGTTTTTTTGCCCAAGGCTGGTGCTCTGCCACTTAGGCCACACTTCCACTTGCTGATGTTTGCTGGTTAATTGGAAACAAGCGTCATGAGTTTGTCCAATTTTGTTCTTAACTGTAGGGATTTTTGTCTTTGTTTTCCTTTATTAGCTCTGTGTGTGTGTGTGTGTGTCTGTCTGTCTGTCTGTCTGTCTTGGGGCTTTGACTCAGGGCGTTGACTGCTATCCCTGAGCCTTCTTTTGTTCAAAGTTAACACTCTACCACTGGAGCTCCACTTCTGGCTTTTTTAGTAGTTTAGTGGAGATAAGAGTCTCACAGAAGACTTTCCTGACCCGGCTGGCTTCCAACCACACTCCTCAGATCTCAGGCTCTTGAGTAGCTAGAATGAGAGGTGTGAGCAACCAGTGCCAAGCTCCTTAGCTTACTTTTGACTGGCATATACTATGTAACTAACTCAGTGGCCTGGAAGGATCCCTCTTCCTGCCTCAGCTTTCTGAGTGTTGGGATT